AGACTGGGCCCGAGCCACAAATAGATTGATTGAGAAGGTTGGTTTGTTCATAATTATATTAGGCTATGAACTGAGTCTGCAAATTCTTTTGTTAATGATAATGACGACTCCACTTTGAACCATATATATTTTAGGTTGACGATGATGCTGATGTAATTGAAGATGTACCACCAATTGTGAAGTCAAAAAGAAGACTTGTCTTGACTACGCAACTCGTACAGCAATTATTTAACCCTCCTCCAGCAGCAGTTCTCTCTGCAGATATCAAGTTGCACCACGAGAGTGTGGTCTACACAGTTGCTAGATTAGCATTAGGGGATTCGTGCAGTTCAGTTTCCTGGTCAGGACGTGATAAACTCGTGCATATGGGCAGCAGAAACATGTAAGATTCATGTTCTTTTGGATGGGGCCTGATATGTACTATGTATTTAATTTTTTTATTCCTTCATTTTGTAAAACTGAAACTTTTCATGATATACCTATAGCCTTTCCGAGAAGCTTAAATCGCCAGAGAGAATTGATCAGTATATGTTGAAGGTTATGGAAGACCTTGTTGGAAGAGCAAAGAAATTGGAAAATGAAATATTGAGGTAATACATGACTTTTCATTTAACACCTAATCCATTATGACGTTTCTCTTCACAGCTTTATGAAATAGTGAGGCCAGTTCATATACAGTAGAAAATTTCATGTAGCTTATATTGTGCATATATGGCGAATGCGAATGCACTTGCGCTTTGATACTCTCTTTAAAATGTTCCTAAGATATTTGTAATAGCTGTGTTGTCATCTATCTCAACGTTGTGGGGAAGAAGCCCAGTGAATTATTCCCTCAGCAAGCTAAAGTGGTGTTAAGATGGTATTTGCTGGGATCCCCCTTTTATTAATTGATTTCTGGCGGGCTTGCTTGTTATGGGATTAAACAGATGCAGATCTTGCGGGGCATAACTGGCCCATTTCAAATGTAGGTCGGGGCTCATGTTTAAATGGATTGAATAGATAGGAATAAGTTTTCTGCTGTTGGTGTTGCTTAGGTGCTGCTTTCTTTATTGAAGCACAACTGAGATGGATGATAATGGAGACTTTAGAAAGTGGTTTCTTGTAATCAGAACGTGCACCGTAAGTTGTGATAGATGTTAACATGGTAGACAGACAACCGGTTTAATATGCCTGGGACGTTGCAATAGATGTGAATCAATATAACAGGACGCCCCTGCTCTTTTCACCTAACTTCTAATTGTACATGTTAGTGATAGCATTTACTGTATCCCGTGGTTGGTGTAGGCAAAGATATAAATGTTGCTCCTTTTCATGTTTTCCATCTTTTTGTTGCTTGCTCCTGCTAGGTTATGTTATTTTCCCCCCCTTGTTGGTCACTTCAATTATCTGTACTCATTTGCCCCAACAAAATTTCTTGATTCTTTTATCATTATGCAGATTGGATAGCAGAGCCTCAATTTTAGACTTGAGAGTGGAATGTCAAGATTTAGAGCGATTTTCTGTCATCAATCGATTTGCCAAGTTCCATGGTCGGGGGCAGTATGATGGGGCGGAGACCTCATCATCCTCTGATGCAACTGCAAATGCTCAGAAATCATGTCCCCAGAAATATGTTACCGCACTTGCAATGCCTAGAAATCTCCCTGACAGGGTACAATGTCTTTCACTTTGATCATTAATTAATTCATTTTTCCATCTTTCTTGGTCAGTTGTCTCCACAACCACCTGTTTCTAGTCCTTTACTTTCAAGTTATATTATTGCACTTCATCGCAATAGAACCATACAACTGGCAATGTAGGAGAAGAATGGTACTAGATTGTCTCCTCAACCAACGGAGGCTGTTAGATCTTTGCAATTTATATATGTATGTATGTATGTATTTGTAGATCTTTGCAATCTAGTTATCTTTTTACTTTTGGTTTTCAGGTTCCAAGCCTTTTGTATATAGTAAGATTTATGCACTCTACTTGTTAGTTTTAACCATACCATTTGGCCAGGTTTCGTCTTATTAAATTGGTAGCATAAGCTGCTTCACTTATTGCTTCTTTTCTCTTAATTTCAAATCGTTTTCTTTATTTTGAGTATAGTCCTTTCGGATCTGTTTTGCCTAAGCCCCTCGCGTATCCTGCACCAAGGTATGATGCCCCTAATAAACTTGATATATAGTCCCATTCTGGTCCTGCCAGGTGTGATGCTTGAGTTAAACTTGGGTTCTCATTGGGCATTGTACCCTGTTGATGGAAAAGCAGGCTTGCTGTTTCCCTAACGTGTTTTAAGGGTTAACTTGTTTAATTTGGTCCATTTACTTAGGACACTACTTTAATCTGTACTTTTATAATACGCTTGTGACGACTAACTATTTTTATGCTTTTATGTATTTTATGAGAAAGACATCACTCGCACCCTACCATAGGTGCTTTGAAAGAAACTTTAAACAAATAGCAGTAGTTGAAAAAAAAAATGGTTATCCTTTTTCCACAAATAAACCTATTTTATTGAATCAAGTCCACTGAAGTACGTCTTTCTCCCTGTGGTGTCTTGTCTTAAAATCGGAAAGGAATTGTTTGATTACAACAAGTGCATGGCATCACTTTCCACTGATGATTTAATAATTGGCCAGACAGCTCCTGTTTTGTTATGATCCCCCTTTTCTTTCTGTTTTATCCTCTGCGTAATATGTCAGGCAATCTTTTATTATTTATTTACTGGTCCCGTATGAGACAAACACTCTGACATGGCCTGCCAATGAGATGAAACAAAAAAAGTGTCAAAGAATACGCAAGCGTATCTGTGTCAGGGAAGTACTCTTGGCTTTTTTGACGTTGACGCCATTGCTTTGTCCTTTGAGATCCATGCAATATTTGACTACTGCAGTAAACGACCTTTTTGTTTGACCATGATCAATTGTGTCTTTTCCTTAAGTCAACTACGAAAGAGCGGTCTCAAAAGGCCTTTGTTTTATCTTATTTTATTTTAAAATTGGCTTGAGCCTCGTGTAGTTTAAACCATCCAAAGGAAAAATTAGTAGTTGCTGTCACTTTTTTTTTTAATTTATTGAAAAAGAGTTCTTTAGAACAAAAATAGAATATGATCCTGTAAACAACTTTGATATGGATAATTAATTTGGTCTCGATCACGCATCCAAACGGCAGCAATAAAATGATTCTGTTGAAGATGATTTTCTTTTAAGAGATACGCAAATCTTTTAAATGTTTTCCGAATTCAGCTGCAAGTACATATAAAATTTTAAATAGTCATATGTAATGTTCCCGTGAAATTACTTCATTTGAATCCAGCGTGTGCACTGGGACCAAAAAAAAAAAAGGAAGATCAATATATTGGAATAAATAAATGGAGTCAGATAATATTAGAACCCGAAAAGACGATAAAGTCCCGTCAAAAAGGGTACCATAATCAAATAATTGTACTTTTACTTTATTATTCGTCACTTGAGATATTCTCCTATCAAAGTCAAGTCATCAATGTATGTGCCGCGTCAATTTTTCTCTCATGCAAAGATTAACCTCTAATTTATCGGAAAAGAATTAAAAGGATCGAATATTCACTGTCAAAACTTTTTCACACGGACAATACCCCCCCCCCCCAAAAAAAAAACACTTGGTGCTTGGATTAGCTTTTGTAAGTAATTTTACAGATTCTGAGATGAATATGAGAGACAGATTTTATCTTAATTTGAGTGAAAATATTTTTTAATTGCTTTTTATGGTTACCAAACGCGCCTTTAGTATGGCTTTAAATATGGGCCAACTCGAGTGGGCTGATGGAGCTAGCCCACCTTTATTCATATTTTCAAAATGATTAAATTGAATTATGGGCTGGTGGGCTGATGAACCAATTGTTATGCCCGAACTACCAATGCCCTCGCAATCATAATGGCCTATGGGGGAAAAAATATTAAGGTAAGTTGTCCATAATGACAATCAGATATATATAATTCATAAGTGTTTAATGTGCGTTGTTATTTTATAATCTCCATGTGATTACCTTTATTTTTAGTATTTATCGGAAAAAAAGAGACATTTGCATCTTTAAAAATTATGAGAAAAGTTCTGATAAAAAATATTTAAAGCTTTAGCACCCAAAATAAACGAAATATTAAGAGTTTCTTTTGTTAATATTAATAAAAAAAATAATAATTAAATATTCCTTCCAGTTTTAAATATAAGACGTGTAATTTATACTAATAGGTCTTATATTTAAAACAGACTAATTAATATGAGACGAGGGAGTAATGTCCATTAGACTTTGTTTTGTTCAACGGAAGGAAGGGGAGGAGAGGTTAATTAAAAGAAGGGGAGAGGAGGGAAGGGAGGTCATGATTTTGTTTGGTTGGAGGTCATGATTTTGTTTGGTTATAGGGGAGGGGAGGAGAGATTTCTTGTTTGGTTCATAAGAAGAAGGAGGGGAGGTAATTATAAATTGACAAATATGCCATTATCTCTGTATTTAGACTGATTTATTTTTTATTATAATATTTATATAAAAATTATTATTTCTTAATTTATCAATTAAAAAAAAACCAATTACCTCACTTACGTGATTAAAAAAATGACAAAACTAAAAAAATTAAAAATATGATAAAAAGTTTAACCTTCTATCTCATTAATTTTATAAATATATGTTATGATATGTATATATATTAATATATATGATATGTATATATTATATAATTATAATATTATATTATCATTATCAAATATTATTAGTGGCTAAAAAGAGAAAGAAGTGAAAAAAAAAAGATTTTTAATAAGATAGATAAATTTGGAATATTGAAAAGTTACTATAGATAGTTTGATCAATATTAGACACTATTTTTTTCTCTCTAAAGAACCCCAAATTTAAAAGGAGCATGAGAAGAGGAAGGGAGTGCTAAAAGACAAATTTCTTTCTTTTCCTTTGTTTTATTTTTTCCAACTAAACACATTTATCTCCTCCCCTCTCCTCCTCTCAGCAACGCTCCAACCAAACAGAGCCTTAAGTTCCCCAGGCAAAGCAAGCGGCCACAAGATCCAATTATCTGTGCCCATCGTCCAGCGGTCGGAGAGATCGGAGGGGTCAAGATGTCTTCGCACAATAACGCTTCGCCTGCTAACGATCCTCGGCAGCCGGCTGCGGCGAAGCCATACGTCGCTCCTGTGGTTGCACCGCAAGACATGCCGATCGATTATGCGGGTTTCATCGCCGTCATCTTTGGCGTCGCCGGTGTCATGTTCAGGGTTCGTATTACTTGTGTCTTGCCTGCTTTTCATTTATTCCAGTACGGGTCTCACAGTCCTTGCTTAAATTTTTCATTCAAGCAGTACAAGCTCTGCTCCTGGCTTGCTCTCATTTTCTGTGCCCAATCCCTGGCCAACATGAGGAATATGGAAAACGATCTTAAACAGGTTATGATGGCTATGATGTAAGTTTCTGTTGACTGTTATACATTTTTATGAGAATCTGTGCGTTTTAACATTCTTCTTGTTGAATTTCCCTTTGGTGATTTTCTGGGAGCTTTTTAAAATTCCCGTGAAGTACAAAACGGATGCATCAAGTTATATGAGTTATTATTTAAAAAAAATAGAAGTCTTCATTACACATAGGATTGTGATAGTGGAAGGAGCAACACTGGCTATCAATTTGGTAGTTTGTGAAAAATATCCAGAACCAAAAAAAGCTTTTTCATTTAGTTACGTCAGCTATTTTTTGAGTGTAGAAGGAGGGGGGAAGATTTTCACTACATACAGGATTCGCCCATTTATGATATTGGAAAGAGTTTCAGAACCACACTTTGGACTAGTACATATTTCAGAAGCGTGACCTGTGTTAACAAGTTAAAACTAGAAAAGAATAAGAACATGTTCCTGATCCTTAAGGACAAGGAAGCAATAGACTAAACCATGAAAAAAGAGGAAAAAAATCACAAAACCATTCAATTTCTATCCCACGACATATTTCTATAGCTTTCTTAATAATTCTTAGATCTTAATAATTCTTAGAGTCACATGTAGAAGACTTTATGTTTTTCCTTTAGAACTTATTTATCCTACACTTGTGCCTTATAATTCAGTGCAGGGGGAGAGGTAGCTTGAAGATCATAGTTTAATTGTTGGGTGTTGAAACAAGGAGTAAAATGGTCAGAAATTCCAGAATTATTGAATGCATATGATGGTATTTTTGTAACATGTAAAATATCTTAGGGGAAAAAGTACAAATTTCTCCAGTTTTTATTCATTCAGAAGCATATTCTTGGACTTGGGAAACCAAAAACATTCACTCAACTAGCTGCCTCAATGATTTGAACTCTCCTTTCCTTTTCCCCAATAATCTCACCAATGGAGATGCGACTGCGGATTCTGTCGTTTGTCATGCGACTCATGCATGACATTCTCATTCATATGAGAACAACAAACTATAGACTTTGAGGCGTCTTTTTCTTTAACTAGGACAATGGAAAAGTAGACAAACGAGTTTACATCCTCAAGGGTCATATTTTGGGCCCCCCGGGCCCGGGGGGGTCATTTCTAATTTTCAAAGATGAGGGTATTTGTAAATGACTCAAAGTTGAAGGGATTATTTGCATTTCCCCCTATGTTCTTACTAGCAGGGAGTTTTTAATGCATTGCATTCTAGGGTTTAGTAAAACAAACGTGGGAAATCTTATTAGTGTGAAGCAGTGGATTGACTTATGAACAGGGAATTAGTTTGATATGATTCATGATTGTATGGGAGTTCCCGGAAGATGCAAGGTTTTATGATTTTAGGATATTTTGGTGGTCTCGATAAAAATTTGGTAAATGCTGATTTAGGTGCAATGTCCATTGAGGATAGAAAGATGATGACTTCAAACAGGGTCACCAGGATGGCTTTAATGATGGTTGTAGTTGATTAAATGTGCTGAAGTGGTTCTTGATTTTATATTTATCTCAAAGATAATCTTCCTTCTATACATGCGTTCATTGCCAGGGGTGCAGAGTGTGTAGAATGTTCGTGCATGAATCTTTTCTCCCAGTTACTGAAGCATGCTTCAAGTTTGTTGTTTGCCTGTGCCTTTTTTTTAAAGCGAGTGTATGCATGCCATATATTTTATAGCATGAATTGAGCACGTTACGATGCTTTTTGGTCTTGAACATTTGGACAGACTCTATACCATCTTGTAATTCTGTTTTACTTTAGTCTCGATTGAATTCTCTGCATCCTATTAGACAATACGTCAAGGTCCCATACCTAATGGTTAGAATCTAAATCATGAGTATGTAAGTTTCGGGTGAACTCTACGAAGTGGATTAAGCTACTTTGGTGTAATGGACAATCCTCAAGCATAGTTAATAGAAAAAGCCTAACATGATATCAGATCCATGTAAATGTTAGGAAAGTTAGACACTATTAAAGGTCCCACATCCAATGTTTGGAACCTAATCAAGAACATTGTAAGTTTGAGGTGAATCTTACCATATGTTTTAATTTATATTGGTGTTCTAGACAATCAGTATAGTTAGCACACATCTATCAACAGAACTGGGGGCAAGGACAGACACGACTTTTGGTTGAGGTTTTGAATAGCATACAGATGATTAGCATATAGATAATTGATGTGGAGGACTTCTGTTGCATTTAAACATGAAGACAAATGATATGAGTCATGAGAGCATGGAAGAATAATAGACAGTTGTGTTTTTTTTTTTTTGTACTAACAAAGATGGTTTTGCTTCTTTTATTTTAGGGAGAAAGACATACAAGGACCATTGAAATATGGGAATCCCAAAATGGTCATTCCCGCGGGGTCGTCAGAAACTATTCTGGAATTGACTCTTTTTTTTTTTTTAAATGAAATGACTTAACTGTCCTCATGTATTAAAAAAAAAAATGGAAACTCCTCCCACTATTGAAGCTCTGGCCACCGACAGTTGGGGGGGGGGGATGTGAAGGCAATTAGATCGCTTCACCAAAAAAAAAAAAGTCACAATAGTTCCAAGGAATTTCATAAGAATTAAGCCGTTTTGAGAGTCCATTTTGAGATTCTCATATTTCGTTGGTCCTTATCGTATGTTCTTTTCCCTTTATTTTATGTCGTTCCAATCTGCGATTGGAAATGGCTGATTTCGTCCTCCCTTAACTGTTTGTTTATTGATGTTTTAAATCTTATTTTCAGGTTTTCTATCACGGGATTGATGACGAACTACTTTGGACCTCCTAGACCTGGCAAGCAAAGTTAAGATTCAAGTTTGATAAAACTGTGACATCATGTTCCCGCCTTTTCTTCAATTTGTTCTTCAGTCGACGTCATATCAGAGGCCTGGGAATGCTTGCTACTACGCATTTTTCCCCATTTTTATTTGTGAGCCATTAGGCATTAATATCATAGTTAAATTCATCTAACTCGTATGCGGCTATTAGCTATGGTGCTACATGACATCAATGTGTTTTCTTCTTTCAATGAGGATTTGGCCATATTTTTCTGAATATAAATAGTTTTAATTATTAATAAGGATGCGATTGAATTGATGATTGGAAAATGACAAGCGCATGGTGTAAAAACAAAATAGCAGCTTTGTAATTAATATATGAATGGAAAAGGATGAGAAGGGAACAGAATTGTTGGATATGTTTTATGGATAATTTAAATGCACGTTTGATATGGATAAAAATAAAATACTAAATGATGGCAATATCATTAACATGATTTTCATCATTAAAGATAAAAACAGATATGATATAAATCAAATCATTATTGAAAGTAGTTTTTTTTGAAATTCAAATGAATAAATCATAATCTAAAATCACATAAATTAAATTATTTTATGAAATTCAATTTAAAAATTAATAAATAAAATCATTTGAATAATTTTAAAAAATCAAAAATCAAAAAGCTTAAACAGGTCCGCCCTCGTCTAAGTCCTTGGCCTTGTAAGATTAGCCTGTTAGGCATGTTTGCAATTGGAAGAGAAATTTTAAATCTGGGTCTCGAGCCGGCTTGATTTTCCAGCTATGTACAGAGAAAAAAAAAAGATTATTTAGAAAAGGTTTATAAAAAAAGAAAATTGAGGGAAATAAATTTTATAGATCCGTTGATTGATTCTGAGTGACGTGAAACAAAAGGAATAAACGAGATGCAAAAGGTATCATATATGTATTATTATTGGCTCGTTTGGAGTTTTCCACTTTTTTTTTTGGCCTGAGAATTTTCCACTTTAGATCTACTCATCATTAATGGAAACAAATAAAGCAAATTCCAAGGTATAAAAGTGGATTTAAAATTTAAAAAATAAAGTTCAATTCAAATGCTGAATTAAAATAAAATAAATTAAGAGGAGCGAAGTGCTAGTATTAATTAATTTTTTCACAAAAAAATGACAACGTGTCATGACAAGACAGAGACCAGTCACCTCCGAAATTCCTCTGCCATGCTCGGTGCCACTACCAAAGACCGTAGAGAACGCGGTTTTTGGTCCCTGTGATTCATGGGCGTTTGACTCCCGCCTTCGGCCTCTAGCCTCAGCCCATTCTACAACAACAACGTTAATCTGATCCTTGCGATTAGGGAGTCTCCTTCGAATCGCCTGTAGGACACACTGAATAGAGGTGCCTGCAGGAAGAGCCGAAAATTCTACGATTTGCTTCTCTCTCTTTTATTTATCATTCTCCGATTTCTTAAAAAATGGGCTGTCCCGCTAGCAAACACGCTGATACGAAGGCTAATAGGATTGCGCGGTGGCGATCCACGGGCATTGTTGCTTTGCGCGACTCTAAATTGAAGGCATCCTCATCCTATTCCTCGCTTGTTTTAATTTGAACTTGATTCTCTTGTTTTTTATCTATTCTCTTCTTTTGGCTTATTTCATGATTATACCATTCGATATAACTACCCCGCTGTGTTCTTTTTTATTTATTGTCCCTCTGTTTTTAAAATTTATTTTCCCTGTATTAAAACTGCTAGAGTCTGTTTTGCTGAGGCTCATGATTAGATGTCAGCCGGAATGATCATTGGTATTACAAACAGCGCATTCTGTTCTTCAATTAGTTTACATTTCAAATTGGAATCTTGTACTTGAGATGACTGATGCGCGTGATTGGCACATATCACAAACTTAACTCATTTGCATGCCCAGATAATAGAAAGGAAAACCTATTAACTAATCACTGCATTATCATCTTATAGATACTGGACATCAATCATGCTCGCTGTATAGATACCTTCCATCAGATCATTATTGGGTGTGAGTAGCAATCATTTGGTATACTGGTTTCTGTTTTTGTTACTTTCCAGCTCACCTAGTTTGATTTGCTTCTTTTTGTGTTTGTTAATATATCATCGTATGCCTACCCCTGCTGTGATGATGCTACAAGCTTACCTTGGTATATTTTTCTCATTTCCTTCTCAACAGACATTTCCAGATGAAATTTTTGATCTGGACAGATCTGTGCGCACTCTTGATTTGACACATAATCGAATAGGTATGCTGTTTTATTTTCTTTAATTTCATTTTCTGTTTTCTAAAGAGCAGAATGAGGCCCTGTATGTTGGTCTTGAAGGGTCTTGGAGCCTTTTTCCTGAACTGATTGTACTATGTTGTCCTCTATACAATTTACCTGGTAGCTGTGTGAAAGGTTTTATTGTTGTTGATATTAATTAATTTCTTCACTGCAGCTGACATTCCCTTGGAGATGGGAAAATTAATCAACTTGCAGCGCCTGGTAAGAACTTCATGTTTTAGTTTATGCCTAAAGCCTGTTACTTGTACTGAACGCATAATTATTTTTTATAAATCTTTTCTACTTTATTTATTATGTATTGATTTTAAATTTTGAAGGAGCAATATATATGCTGTACAAAGTTTTGACATCAAAATCAGAAGCTCTCTTTTGCTTGAATTTACATGATGCAGTAATACAGTAATTATATGTTTTAGATAATGAAGTGTCTTCTTCAAAATGCATCAACTAATGGTATTTGAAGTCTATGTACCACAATATGTCTCATTTTCTGTTATATTCCCTCTGATCGTTATTGTAAGAGTTAGATAATTAATTTATAGAAATTAAAAAAATTAGTTAAGTTAGTTATTTGTGAAAAAAAAAGTGTGCTAATTTCTATAAAGTAGCCTTTTAATAATTTGCATTGGAAACTGTTCTAATTCATAATAACCCCCTTAACATGTGTAATCAATAGGGAGAGTTTAGGAAAAGAATTATAAATTTGAGAGACAAAGTGGATCAGGGTCTTATATTTATGACCAAAGTAAACCCCTCTACTAATTTTTACATTTAGGATTGGAGGGAGTAGAAACTTTTAATGTTCAATTCTCATATATCATCAAAATTGCTGTTCTGTTACCTCCAGAAGTTGATATCATAAGGCTCCCAAACCTCTGAAAGTTACTGGCATGAGGCTTTATGTTAATACCTAGAGGTGAAGCAATCGAAAATACCGGCTATTTACAATTCACAACCCACTGGCAACAAGATAGTTTAACTTGCCTGCTTATTTGGAGCTCCTAACTAGTTTGTGTACGTGCCTCTTGTAAGCCACATTTCAAATCTATCCAAAGAAAATAAGAAGTTTGAACTCAAAGTGTACTACCGTTAACCGTCAATCATTTTTGTGGCTATTGGGGACATCATTTCCTAGTAGGGCACATATATTATTGCCTCAATCCCAGCATAGCAATCGTTCCTTTAAAAATTTTGTTTCAACTTGCTTCTTCCACTCATTAATTCTGCAGAAGCGTGAAGTTCATTAATTTTGTAGTCATTTTAAAATTCTTTTGCTTTTCTAAACATGGGGCAGGACCCTAGACACAACGATACCTTGCTATTATTTTGACCAGCAAATAGCATGCCATGACAGCATTTGAATAAATCGTGGTTATGCAAGACAAGATTGGTTTAAACAATCTTTACTACTTTAAGTTTTACTAATCTTACAGGTATTAGCTGATAACCTCATTGAGAGTCTGTCAGTGCATTTGGGAAAACTACAATCTCTAAAAATCATGATCCTTGATGGGAATAGAATTACTTCCTTGCCTGATGAATGTAATTCTCTTCTCTAAATAAATAATTTAAAATCTTTTTTACTATTGGGAAAATGCATAATTTTAGTTGTTTCTATGACACATGCTCAATGTAAGTTTAATTTATTGCACTTTATAACTTAAGGTATATCTTTCTGTCCAGTGGGCCAGTTGGTGAAGCTTGAGCAGTTATCCATCTCAGGGAATTTGTTAACATGCTTGCCCATGACTATTGGCAGCTTGCGAAGTGTAAGTAAATATACATATTGAGAACTGAATGCGATGCAGCTTACCACTTCTGTGGTTTGGGCATATTTGGAGTATCATTGCTACATGATTGAAGAATATGAAGTGAAGATTTAGTTCCTGTTAAGTGTTAACATTGGTCTTAACTTGTCTTAGAAAAAATTGTTCTCCTTTTGGCATTTCAGCTGACGCTTTTAAATGTATCAAGCAACAAGTTAAAATATCTTCCTGAATCTATTGGAAGTTGTTTTTCTCTGGAAGAATTACAGGCCAATGGTATACTTCCTAATCCACTCTCTTTATACAAGCATTGCATGAACATGCTCATGGGGATATGCTTTTTACTTCTCTCTGTGTGTGAGCTCAATAGAGTGAGTTCTTCCTTGTATTGAAAGCAAAGAGCTTGGAGGCTTTGTAAATCTATGTTACATTGTAGGATGGTTTATCCTCCTTTTTGTACTCTTTTTTTTCATCCATCAAATTTATTTCCTGATGCATGCTTACTCAAGAATCTTGTGCTTCGCAATATTGCTCTCAGTCATAGTTGAAACTTCTGATTTTACACCAAATCATTCCAAATGAAGTGCCTAAGCTTTTCAGTTTCTTATGACTTTGCCTTAACTATAGGCCCCTAGGATTGATTCTTTGTGCTTGATCAATTCTTGATTATCTACTCTGGATCTGTAGAACAATGTGTCATCTATCTAATTTTTGGGTTTTGTGAGGTGGACTGAAGCTAACTTAGTAATTTTGTCAATTTATCAGATAATCTTATTGAAGATCTACCCTCTTCAGTGTGCAATCTCAGCCGCTTGAAGTCACTTTGCTTAGATAACAATGAAGTGGAGTTGGTATTGCTTTGCAATCTCAAGACTTTAGTTTGGTGGATTTTATCTGTGATTTAATGCTAAACATGATTAAACATTATTGTGTTGTATTGTATTGTTTCTCTTTATTTCTTTGGTTTCTCATTATTATTATTTTTTTGTATGGTCATATGTGGACATTTTGGCTTGCCCTCTCTCCCCTCGAGAAAATGACAGCTGACTGTACAATTCTAATGTAAAATTTGGAAATCGCTAAAAGATAATTACCAAGAATTTCAAACATCTAAGTGTGTCATAAAAAGTAGATAGATTTTACTCAATGATTATGGTGATAAATTGCCATGGGATTATGGTGAATTATAAATTATGAATCACACAAATCCATAGTTGTTATCCAGTTTCTTCTATTTTAGACAATTCTTAATTTGTTTTTTTAATCAATCACTATCCATTTTTCACTTACTCTCTAAGGAGTAACCAACACTTTAGAGGACTTATCCCTGTTAGATTATAATGTTAGCCTATAATGTGTTTGTATATATATTATTTTATCAGTATTGCATTCATTAGTCTCTTTCTGTTAACACTCTCATGGCTCACAGCTGCAGCATACGTGATTTAGCCTGTTAGTGCGTCTCAAAAATTTATGGTTATAGATTCTAAGAGAGGGACAGCTGTCACCTCATCGCATGTTATGTATTAACCACCTGATGTATGTAATGCTTGTATCTGGTCTTTGCCCAAGCACTTGAGCAAGAGGAGCTACGCCATCAGCAAGCTCTCTTCTTACTTATCCTTTCTTTGACTATCAGCTAAACTTTTTTCTTCCTTATCTTTTCTTGACTATCCCCTGCTCGCATAGGCCGCTTATATGAAACATTTTAAGAGGTGAATGCATGAAACAACAATTACCATGCTGATTATGGAAGTCAAAAAAAAAAAAAAAAGACCTTGCTGATTATGGAAGACATTAGTACTTAATATTTCCCTTATGTTCTGAATCTTATTCTTGACCGATCTGGAATAACATAAATTGTATAGCCACCACATTGGGATCTATGTTCTTGATAGTCGTTACTGACAGTCTCTAGTTTGAACTTTTCAGATGTTGATTAGATCTTTTATGCTGTAGACCTTGTTGCTGTGCAATTTTTGTATTATTTTCCCTTTTTCCCTCCCTTTCGTTCTTCATTCCCATACGTTTGGAACCATACCCTTGGATTGCAAATACCTACGTAACTCTATGGTCTGTTTTTGAACAGATACCGTTGAACCTATTAAAGGATTGTAAAGCTTTGCAGAACATATCTCTTCACAACAACCCTATATCAGTGGATCAGTTTCAGCAGGTATGGTTATGATCTCTTACATTCTGTTTTGGTCCCTGGCCTGAGAGGAATAGAGTTGTTCAAGAATTAATACAATCTAACTACGGTGAATACTGTAGATGGATGGTTTTGAAGAGTTTGAAGCGAGGAGGAGAAAGAAGTTTGACAAACAAATTGATTCAAATGTGATGATCAGTTCCAAAGGTCTTGATGAGGGTGTTGATGTATGAGATATTTTCTGCCTAGTTAAAGCCACTTTGCAAATCGAATGGGCTTTGGCAGCTGTATAGTCTTTTGAGTTTTGATGTAACTTGGAAAATCCCACGCATTTGCCTGCAAATTTGCTGGCTTCGGTACGATTCTACTCTCTGCCATTCAGCTGAATGCATATAGAGATTTTGAATCGAAGCCATTGTCATGATAATAAATCGTATCATCTTTTTTTCCCGGTGTCTTCAAATTTATAATTGATACTAAAATAATTTGTTGGAACATTGTTCTCCTTGAAACTCTGCTATTTGTGAAATACCGTTGTCATCTATCGATTTTTTTTTTTTGACCAGGCGTTGTCATCTATCGATTGTAAGAACGTAGCTCGTCTTGTATTTTGTTAAACAAAACACCTTAAGTTTTTGTTGTTGAGATATTTCCTCAATTTCAAGATGATATCAATTTTGTTGTTTAATTTGACCTCGCAAACGTATGAGAAAAAAAATCCTATGTACTCAAAAAAAGTAGTGAAAAAAAAATGCCATGCATTAAATGACAATTTTATGGTGAATATTAGTTTTGATAATGAATAATAGGTACAATTATCTTGCATTTTCATGAGAGAATAATTTGTTAGGAACAAGAGAAGCAACGACCAACCAAACTCCTGAATCCTATTTTTGAGCTGTGTTTTTTTTTTTAACATACATCTTGAATTGCTAAACCAATAAATAGAATCAAATCCTGACGTGCTTCCTAATAAAAAAATAAAACAAAACATATTTATGATAGTTAGATCTAATAAAAGAATATAATACTTGTTTGAAAAAAAATGTTCATATTTGACATTGAGCGGTGTCTGAAACTGAATTATCTTTTATAAACGAGTACTTATATATTTTTTATTTTATTATTCATATTACTTAATACTCCTCTTGTCCTTAATATAGGATCTAATTATTGAGTTGATTTTAGTCCTGAATATAAGATTTATTTCTCAAATTTATCAATTTTTTTAAATTATCCCTATGGATACTCTCTCAACCATAATCAAGTAAAAGAGGGAACGAGAATATTAAAGAAGATGATTATGGTGTTTTAGAGAAAACATATCATATTTCTTATAATTAACTAACTTACCTAATTTCTTTAATCTAATCAAATTAGTTAAATATGTGTTATATTAAGGATTGGAGGAGTATTATTTTTTGTAAATTAAACTAAAACTAATAAGATGGTACAACAGTATTGCAATCCAACTTTTGTATCTCATTAAATGTTAATTAGCAAAATCAAAATGAAATTCAACTCCTTTTTTTCCCCCTCAATAAACAAGCGAAATCGGACCTATGGGGCCGCATTTGAGTACTACGTGTTTTTACCTGATTGGCCAGATAAATAGTGTACAGTAACCTGTACAGAACATATTAGAATCTACCATCATTATTGCCTCCGAGATTCCCCACCCACAGAATTCACGTCGGGCCCCAAAAAGAGCGAAAACAAAACAATTCACACAATCTTCCCTCTTATCGCACGCCACGTGTCAGAACCTCCTCGCGCTATCATATGATTCAGAATCTGCCCTCAAATTCCCGTTCCAAACTGTCCCTTATATATCGCCCTAGCATTCTTCCCTCCTTCCTCAGAGTGATAAGGGCATTTCCCGTAATTAAGAGAAGATACGTGCCCTTTGTTTATTCGTCACGTCGTTTCCTTTTTCCGACCAAAAAAAAAAAGAGCTTTGCCCTTTTTGGTCTTTTGCCGCGTCTCCGTCCGATCTCGGTTTTGTTCTTGCTTGATTCGATCACTAAATTCGTTGTGGATTCTTGTAATTGAATACCAGCTTTCATCAGATCTTTTTTTTCTGCACCGATCGATTCCGATTTTCGCTTGTATCGGTTGTCTTATCCAATCTTAGGGTTTCGTTGTGGAATATTCTCGATCTGTCTTTACCATGCCGGATCTGAGAAACTCCTTTCATTTATGTTCGATTTGAGTTATGGATGTCTCTCATATCTTTGTATCGTTTCCGTTTTTGTAAATTACTTGCATCGCTTCGGACTTTCACGACTTATAGATATAGATCCGTTGATAGTTTGTTCGGATTATAAGATCCCACACTGCGTAGTCTGATTAACCATAATCGTGTATTTTTTTCAAACAATAAGGGTTGATTCCTTTTTCTTGATTTCCTTCGTGCCGTAATATTTAGATCTAGGGTTAGGGTTTTCTGAAATTGGGACTTCTACCTGTTTGAATAAATTTCCTTGGGGAAAGTTGAATTTCTGTCTGAAATTAGGGTTAACTTGCCTGACTACTCCGAACTAAAGCCATTATTGTCGGCTTCACGGTTAGCGATAAAGTTCTACGGGGGACTGGATAAAGGTATATATGGTTTCTCTTTTGGTAATTTCGTACAAATTGTACTTTTGTTGTTATGGTAATTTATTTTCAAATTGCTGGAGAAAGTTTTGGCAATCTAAGGACTATGTTGTTATTTGGGGAGGGTCATTGCGTATGCTTGCAAAATTGATGCTTTCCAGGCTCCATTAAGCAAGGTTGCCATGAGAAACGGGCCCACTATCTTGATGATATTAATTAATTATTAATATTATTAATATTAATAAACTAAATCCAGAGTCTTTGTTTCGTTGATTGCAATTTCCCCTTTTGGAGTTGGGAATTTTGTTTGATAATTAGCATGCTGCGTTCTACAGAGCTCAAGTTGCTTCTTTCTTTATCATTCCTCAGTTCTGATGTGATTGTTTATTCTTTCTTTTGCTTTCTTCCTTTATTGGCAACTAAAGTGTCGTCTGATATGAGTGCACGCGGGCGTCTGGTCTTGCTGTTTCAAGGGTTTACTTATTAAGAAAAGGAAGCATGGGATTTTCTAGTCATTTACTACCGCGTGTGTCTGTTATATTTATAACACTTTGATGTTTAGGAGAGTAACAGTGTATGTATGAGTGTGTATATGATATTTGACTGCTGTTAAATTGTTTTAGTAGCACTTTGGCATATGCTTCTTTGTTTTTTGTTATGGTTTGAACATGTGCTTGATTTTAGTTTAAGCATGGGGTGCTTAAATTCGTATTATCTTACTTTGGATAATATCTGGGGATGCGAATGCAACTATAGTTAGTGTTTTGCTCTTTCATTTGAGGTTGGATAATGGAACTTAGTAGTGTCCATGCTTAATCTATTTCGTTAATGTTAACTAGACAGTTCATATTGAGATAAAAAGGGGAAAGCAAGAATATGGGAACAGTTGTCCTGGAAAATCCTATAGAAATCGCATGGTTATAAATATTAGTGAGAGGAGTTTAGGGTTTAGGATTGATATTATTTGGTAATTTGCTGGCGAAGGTTGTTAAATGCCCCTATCCCTCTGAAAAAAACCTTCATTATCTATTAATGAGTTATCTTATTTGATCTTTTGATTCATTATTAGAAGACAAGTTACTTTGACAGTTATAAAGTGAGTCCAGCTTGCCTTCTTACTTGTTTTAAACTCTTTCCTGCAGGTAAACATGGTTCAGAAACGCCCTTTTGATGCTGAGGAAATGCTTGAGGTTCCTTTTAAACACCCAAAACAAGCTGGACCCAGCAATCAGCTTGTATCATTTTCAGAATCGGTATTTCCTGAGAATTCTTCCCAGCATCTTGAAACATCAGGTGTGGGTTTGGTTGGCGATCCCCCATGTTTAGAATTAAATTTGTTTTCTAAAAAATAAAGCTGGTGCTCATTTAGTGGATTGAAGTTTCAGATCAAGTAAATTTCTATTGCAACTTGTATTGATAAAATGTGGTTTAGTTGTCAACTAACTCTTACCTATAGATGAAGTTATTATTGTGTATATCTATTCCCTTTTTCTAACTCAGTTACTGTTTCTCTTTTAGGTTGTATTAACTTGGTACGAATCTTTTATTTCTGATGTTCTGCCTAACATATCTGTCATGGTATCTTTTTTTCCTTTAAAAAATTCCTAGTGGTAATAAGAGGCATTTGAGCATTATTGTCTTCTGATTCTGACTGTAACTAGCACTACCAGGAGATGGGTAAATCAGATGACAATATGATATTTGTTATATTTCCTCATAATGTATCCTCATCTAAAAAAAAAAAAGAAGCTTTTTGACCCGGTTTACTTTGTGATTGGTTAGAGTCTGGATGCAGACAAGTTAACAATGAAGGTGATGAGAAGCTTGCTAGTGATATTTTTGTTGAACATCCTGGAGGTGCTGGGGACATTGAAACAAGCTTTCCAGGAAGTATCTCTGTTTCTTCTTGGGCTCCTAGTACCAGTGAAGATGTCCGGTCAGATATTCCTGTCCATTTCTCTTTTTATCCTGAGTATTTTAGTCCAGAACGTCCGGTGAGGGCATTAACACGCTATGAGGACATCTATTCCATACTCCTTGAACACCCTCCGCGCAAACTTGTCCCCATTGGAGCTGATCATCAAGCTGATGTTCCAGCATGGGTCGTACCAGGTTCCACTAGTGGACTGGATACCTCTTCAAGTTCCATCTCTGTTGTTGGGGATAAATCTGAGGAAAGGTGGGCGGGAACATGTATAATCCCTATGCCTAATATGGAATTATCTACCTGTGATAGTAAAGTTGGAAGGGGCAGAACTGATTGTAGTTGTGAAGATAGGGGATCTGTGAGATGTGTAAGACAGCATATTGTAGAAGCAAGAGAGGAACTTGCAAAAACAATTGAACTAGCTAGATTTGCTGATTTGGGCCTGTGTGACGTGGGAGAGCAAGTGGCTGAAAAATGGAATGCAGAAGATGAACAACTCTTTCACGAGGTTGTCTTCAATTATCCGGCTTCCCTGGGCAAGAATTTCTGGAACACTTTCCCAATTGCATTTCCTTCACGATCTAGAAGGGAGATAGTGAGCTACTACTTTAACGTGTTCATGCTTCGAAAGCGGGCAGAGCAGAACAGAAATGACCATTTGAATGTCGACAGTGATAATGATGAATGGCAAGGTAGTGATGACAATGAAATTGCGACTCTAGGGGAAGACGAGGACTCTGTTGCTGAGTCCCCCTTCTATCAAGATGATACTGGTCATAGTAACTGTCAAGAAAATGATCTGCAAGATTATGATGAGTATGCTCAAGATGAAACCTGTGATACTAGTGGAGTTGTAGACTTTACCAAGAGAGACATTAGCGATGATTTAAAATATGATCCTGAAGAGATGCCGCGGTCCAACAGTTCCCCGCAGCATGTTCAGTCTCAGGATAAAATCATTTGTCAAGAGAGGTGTGAGGAAGAAGTACTGGATGGATCATGCACATCCTCGGAACTGGGAGTTAGTTCACAGGAGATCAAGGGGAAGACTGAGAATGATGATCTTTGCCCTGATAACCTCAACGGTATAAACCGTGGCTTTAGCCCAGGATATGTTACGGAATCTTGTGACACAAAAGCCTGGGATTCTGGTTTTATGTCTTGCGCAAAAGATAAAATTGATTTCTTACCTACTTGCAGCATGATTGAAGAGGTTTTTGGAGATGGGCTGAGGCAAGAAATGAGGAGAGTTTGAGCTCAGTATTGTGCTAGCTTAGACTCTTCCTCAATCACAATTTTGGGAATAATCGATGTCCGGGGCCTTTTATGTTGAGTCAATCTCAGCTAGCACTCTGGGCTAAGCATAATAAGAGTGATTCCAACTTGTCTTGTGTATATTTGACGTGAAATTGGCAATGTAACTATGTATAATATAGTTTTGGCAGATGAGTTTGGTTATCGAGTTGGGTCCCATTTATGTTGGTTATCGAGTTCTGTCAACTTTATTTTTCTCAAGCCCCCTTCGGAATTATGAAATTCCTTGTTTCTTAATTTTAGCGTAGTAGTGTACACTTAAGGTGGGGAGGAGAAGATGATTGGTAAACAATTGGGGTTGCAGTGTTGCTTTGTACTATCCAATCCGTGAAAGATCATTCTTACTCCAATGGCCGCTTTGGCATTTTATTGATGGTTCACTGGATCATTATTACTGGGAAAGCGAAGAGCCTGTCTCAAATAAAATGAGGAGTGCTGATATTTGATGCTGTTTTGTCAAATTGATCTTTCATAGTTTTATCTCGTTTCAATGGTCCATAGTAGATTTTTATATTTTATCAAAGGACAAAATTTGCATTCAAATCGAATTTTGAAGGGAAAATTGCATTAAGTTAGGTCTCATTCAAGAAATTTAAATTAAAAAAAAAGTCCTCATTGCAAGTCATCAAATTAATCTAAATTTTAAAGGATTTCATTGTAAGAGATTTTACTTGTTTAATTATTAAATTATTTTTATTTTTTAAAAAAATGCATTGACAAATGAAAAGGTAGTTATTAATTTAAAGCGCGACGATTAATAATTATCGGGGCGGACATTAAAAACTTATACATTAAATCTTTGTAATGTACTATGAAAATGTATTGTTAATACTTGTTGTGATAATTATTAATTGTTGCACAAGTTGTTAATGACTACTCTTTCAATTCTTAACACGTACTTAGAAAAAAAGTGAGGGTGGTTTAGTAATTGGACAAGTAAAATCTCTAGGGAGTTTAAATATAAATCCCATTTGGTGACATCTAAGTTATAATTTTTTTAATTTATCAAATTTTTACATTTAAAAGTAAGAGAATGAGGTTATTCTATTAACCATGAAAAATTTCGTAATTTTTTTTTGGCAATTTCAATTACTTAATCCTTCTCAAGGGAGTATAAATAGCTAAGATCAAATGACATATTCCCTCCTATTTGCTTAGAAATGGAAAAGTTAAATTACATTAAGGTCTCATCCAAGAATTAAATTAAAAAGAAAAAAAAAGACTAGCAGAGTATTTATTTATGAACCATGCATTGGATGGATTATATTTAAGGTAAGGTAGGTTGAACCAAGTTGGCTGCCAACGTGAGGCCTAACTCGTAGACTTTGTGAGGGGTGTATCTAGCTAGAGAGGCGTCGGGCCATCGTGCTTTTGAAGCTATCAGCTACCATGTTCTGATTCCCCTTAATGTGAAGGCGAGGGTGAGATTTAGGCATATGTTGTAACCCAGATAATTTCATTTAGTAAGCTTTTCTTCCATTCCAACAGCATGATTTTGACTCGGAGATTATTACCATAATTTTGTGGTGTCATCGTTCTAGACTTCAAGCGAACATCAAAATAAAACTGCTAACCAATTATAGCTTTCCAAGTTGGCGCATATACATACTAAAACAAAAACAAAATAAACTGATATGAAAGTATATATCAAAGCTATGTTATTTATAAACAATGGTGCCTGCAATTTTTCCCTTTCAATCTTTCTCTACATATCTGATCGGATATTAAAATTATTATTTATATCTACTTAGGATAAACAAAACAGAGCAGCTTCTTTTAACTGAAGTAGAAGTCATTGTCTCAGAATAATATGTGTAAGCAATTATATTGTAATATTCATAAATGGGTATTGTGGCCCATATAAATTGATCTCATATGGCCAGTTGCGTAAAATTTTTCTATAAGGAGAAGGTTACATATTCGATCTTGCTGGTAAACTCAGATTTTTTTTTTAATTCCAAAAAAAACGAAAAGAAAGATCCAATATTTATATATCATCATCTTCTTTTCCTGTCTTGCTTTACAAACATGAGAACTAGAGTTGGCATAAATGTTAGCCTTCCCATAGCATGATTGAACTTTGCTTTGCCTACATTGCAAGATTCAAGCTTTGGGAATTGAGTGTCCAGAAAGCATACCACTTACCAACTTTTCTAGCTTTATCCCAACTCACACCTAGTGAATTTGAGGCACCCAATTCTCTTTTTGTAATCACTTACCATCCCACAGCACTTTCACTTTCACTTTCTGTATCTTCATCCTAAACTTGCAACCCCATCACATTCAGTGTCACCCAAAACTGACCTTCCTATCTTATTGATTTACCTCGACAATCCATATATCTATTCCTTTGTTTTTTCCTGTTCCTAAGTACTTTATTCATGAGTTGCTGTCGCTTAAATTCTTAATCTTGAGCTCACCTATTAGTCTTATTGATTTCAGATGCTAAGGACCGGGGAGGGCATATCCAAGATCCACAGTGAAAGTGGTGAGTGGTAGCTGCTTTGGACACAACCTACAAAGTGGTCCCTTGTTAGGGTCACCACAAAATGAACAGTCGAATCACATATTCTCTGTTTTGGCTCTACTCGCTTTGCATCTTCCCAACTTCCTCTTGAAAATTCTAATCACATTACGACAAACCATAATCTGATACTCCCGCCGCCATGAGGGCAACAAACTAATAATCACACACTTCCTTCTCTTGTTTTTGTGTGATATAAGTGTGGCCGGCCTTGTCAATGAGCTTGCAAGGCTGGCCCATCTATGACCTTCTTAGTTGTACTATGCTATACAGTAAGCTGAACAACCAAAGCACCTCCTTTGTCTTCAAATAAAAAGTTTTGATTTGGCTAAGGAGTGCCAAGGTGTAAAAAGATTTCTTTTTTTATTTTCATCATAATCAAAGGACATAAACTTTGAATACTGCATATATTCTTATCATCTGAGCTAGTTCTAAATAGCATAATGTTCATCCAACATATCCCTGGGATTCCAAAACCATAATTGAAGCAATAAGTTTTTGGAGGAGCTTGTGACAGGAATAATACTGTAATTCACAGGAATTGGCGCTGCCCAATTGGTTGGTTTGCCACAACCCCTCTCTACCTCCCACTTAATTTGCCTTCCATACTTCCACGGAGGCTAACTCCAGGACCCACTTAAGGTTCATTTTCTAACAAATACTTGATATCTTATTCTATTAAAGTCAAGTGAATAAGATAATGTAATACATCCTCTACTATAAAATAGTTATATAAAGTTACACTTTATTCTCATATAAACTTCTGTGAAAGGCTAGTTTAGTTGAAGTGCACTATCCTGCTCATAATTTGTTTAGATGTCATTGAGCCGAATAGTAGTATTTTTAGAAGTAAATTATACAACAACTTCTAAATTTTGTAAATTATATATTTTCTATTTAAAAATAAATATAATTTTCCCTTGAAATACAGGAAAGCTTATAATAGACGCGCCATAGTGTTTTGTTAAATGACCTTAAAAAAATCAGGTTGAGGAATTAATTTTGTCTTTATAATTAACGCAATGTGGCAGGGAAGCTTTCAGTTGGAAAGCGTGGGAGAGAGAAGAAGAAAAGGAGTGAACAAGAACGAGCAAGGAAGGAAAGAATAGTTGTGGATTCAGTTATGTAGTTTCAAGATTACAAAGCTGTGATTCATTTTTATTATTACGATTGGCTTGTGCTTGCCGTTGGATTTTGTGAAGCCTCGCCGGACTCTCCTCTTATCGCTACACGTGCTTCTTTTCTATCCCCTCCCTCTTGCTTCCTCTTTGCTTACCTCCATGGATTTCTCTTCCATTTTTAGCTTCCTTTCTTCTTCCCCACCCCTATCACCAAACCTTTGATTTTTTCTCCCAACCCTATTAAGCTCTACTCTTATGCGCACACTTGGCTTGATCTGATTCTATGGCCTGATCCTCCTTACTCGATTTCACCTTCTTCATCTTTTCTACGGCTTCTGATCGATCGTCTTGTTACATCCTCGGTTTCTTCTGATCTGTGCGTTCAATGGAAGAATCCAAGCATGTGTGCAAGTTCTGCAGGAAAATCTTCCCGTGCGGAAGATCCTTGGGGGGTCACATGAGGTCCCACGTCTCCGGCAATCATTCAGCTGAAACAGAGGATTCACTTGCAGCGACGAAGCTCTCGCGTGTCGAGAAGGAGAATGGCGAAGCAGCGGCTTCTGCTACTGGCTATGATCTGAGAGAGCAGAGGAAGAAGACTTGGAGAGTCGCTGATTCGAGTGACGGCACTAAGGCATCAGAAAAGTTGTGCAAGCAGTGTGGTAAAGGGTTTCGCTCTTGGAAGGCTCTGTTTGGTCACATGAAATGTCACTCCCAGAAAGAAAGAGCTTCTGTTACTGATGATGATCATAATCATAATAGCTTGGAAGATCAAGATTCATGGACTGTCATGGATAGCCAGTCTGACAATGAACCTCCCAGGCCAAGAACAAGAATAAGATCCAAGAGAACAAGAACGACTACAACCTCGTCTCTGTCCTTCTCCAACCTTTCCTCTTCTGTTTCTGAAATTGAGCAAGAGCAAGAAGAGGTCGCTTTGAGCTTGATGATGCTTAGCAGGGGCGTGGCTTCACGGGGATCTCGAGAAATGGGGTCCGAGAAGAAACCAAAAAGATCAGAGCTTTTGACCCCTGATCACTTTCCAAGAAGTGGGTCTAGCAAGAGCAAGACAAGGATGATAGATTTTCAGTCTGCAATGGAGGATTCTGAGGAAGATGATAAAGAGCAAGGGAAGAGGAATTTCAAGTTCTTAGGTTCAGAATTGAACTCAAATCCTTCCAGGAGTTCTGACAGAAGAAGCAAGTTCGAGTGTGCTACTTGCAACAAGGTCTTCCGTTCTTACCAAGCTCTTGGTGGCCATAGAGCCAGCCATAAGAAGATCGCCAGAGACTGCTTTGTTCCAATAGATGAGACCAGTGATAACTCTATAAAACCTGATCTGTCTCACCATGAAGCAATTTCTGGTTCGGATCTTCATGAAGATGCAGAGTTGGACAAGAGCAAAGATCATGAACGCTCAATCAGCCTCAAGAGTTTTCCATCTGGGCAAGCAATGGATGGGCATAAAAGATCCCATTCAACTGAGGCACCTGAGAGTAGAAAAGCAGAAAGTACAGATTTGATTGAGGAACCAGTTGAGAAAATTAGGGATTTGATTGATCTTAATCTTCCAGCTGATGCGGATGCTGCAGAGGAAGAAGACAGCAACAATAATAGCAATTCTGAGTGTTACAGATCATCACCCTGGTGGGTGAGAAGCATCCACAACAAGCAGGAAGCTCTAGTAGGCCTATTGTCTAACTAATCATATCATACTTCCAGATTTCTCAGTGAAGATTCAAAATGTATAGAACAATGCTTCTTTTTTTTTTTTTTTGGGCTTCATTTCTTTGGTTAATTCTTTACGGGGTCCATGTCTGATGTTTTCTTCTGCTCATGTTCTTCAAGGAGCTTACAAGATGAACTTGAGATGATATGGTAGTTCATTAGTACTTTTCTCCTGAACAATTTGCTTCTCATTGAAAAAGCGAATCTACTTTTTGTTCTTTTTTGGTGGAGAATTCCAAAAGTGAAATGGAAGGGGGTGGTTCTTAGTGACGAGTGACTAGAAAGAGGTGAGGTTTGGTGGTTGTTTATTAGTCAACTACCAGAAAAAACAGAATAACACAAGTGGCGTGTTATCAAATCCTTCTCACTAATCTCTATGCGCCACTTTCAACAGCAATTAGCATATTAATTCTTTTTAATATAGAATTAATTATCATGATAATCACAGATAATACTAACATCATGAAACAGACTATGGGTATGACTGCCTCCACCGCTAACTTTTGAAAGCCAAAAACGGCAATTACAAGAGCGAATACTTTAATTAAGATATTTAATTAATTAGTTCATAATTAAATGATTATTTTTATATATAAAAGTTAAAAAAATTAAAATCCAAATTTCATAAATCAAATTTGCATCTGGTAAAATTATTAATTCAGATTAATGGTTTAAATACAAATTATAATTCTTCCTGCCATTGTTTTTTTAAGACTGCAGCTAACAGATAAAAATATATGCTCTTTGAGAGTCATTTATTATGGAACAAGCTCCATATTCTTATTTTCAAAAGATGTAGAGGAATGACGGTAGAGAGTTTGGCACAAGAGAATCTAAATTATGAACGGGAGACGCGTATTCACCTAAGAAAAAAACTAAATAAAAATTCAGCAAAATTATATTTAATATTTTTTTTAAAAAATCGAGGGTCAAATTTTTCTAATAGAATTAAAAATTGGTTTTTTTTTTTTTGCTAAAGCATAGGTATCCTCCTATTGGAGACAATCCCTATTCGAGACACTGTCGGGCACTAAATGTAAGTACCTCTCCCAACAGGAATTCAAATCTTGATTTGCCACGTTATAAGGGATTAACCTATTCTGTTAAACCCAATCTCAGTTGGTATTAAAAATTGGTTTTTGCTCAACGTGAATTGGCATTATCTCCGTGTGCTGTGTTGAAGCCCAGTATTTTTAACATTTCTTACCCACTTTTTATTGGGCCTCTAGCCCAACCCTTTTATGGCAGAGTGGTTTTCTCCACCGTCCTTTGGGGCCACATAATGAAACAGGACCTTGCCAAGCGGATCCTCTTAATTGGGAAATTTGATTAATTAGGTCGTTCATCTAAAGTTTATCTTTTTATTCAAAAAAAGAAAAAGTGATTTTGTCTTTATATGAAATATAAATAATCTTTAATTCATGATCAAAAGCTCTCTTACTTGTTTTTTAATTATACTTTCCTAAAAATTTATCCAAACACCCCATGCTTAAGATGTTCATAAATCAATTTAATAAGTTTTGTTTTGTCCAACAATAATTTAAATGCACTCAGAATATGTGGGGCTGCCCATGAAAGACATTATTAGAAATTAAAATATGAATATTTGGTCGGGATGTCATAATTGATTTTAATCAAACATTTATATTGGTGCACGTAAGTGAGTATTTTTCTCTCTTTATTTTTTATACAAATTTTTCCTCTGTATTATTCTATCCGTTCATTCATATGGAATAATTTGGATCTCTTTTTTTTTTTTTTGGGTCCAGCGGAATAATTGGGATGATGGTTGACTATGCGGGGCCGAGCGTCACATAAGTCGGAATCCGAGTGGTATGGGCGGAAAAGCAAAGTAAAGAACCAGAGATTGTCAAAATCGCAAGCTTTTTGGTCTGCAAAGGATCCCACCAAAGCGCTTCATCAACTCGGAAAAACAAAGCTGTCCCTATAGGGCGAAAGAGGTGCGAGAGCGTTCAGATCCTACTTTTTAAACTGCGTCTTGCATCTTCACTGTATTTTTCTCTTCCGTGCTCTCCTTGGTTTCCTTGCGGTTTCCACTTCTCTGACCTTTCTTAACGCTGTTTCGTTAGCTTTTACGGCTTCTAGTTCTTATATTTGGTCGTTGAAACAGCTCCGCTTGATCCCCACTTCATTTACTTTTCGGTTCTTTATATCAACTCGGACTTTTGAAAAGTCTATTGAATATTCCCCATTTTGTGGCTTTATCCAGGTACTAGCGTCCTTTATCTTCTACAATTATTTGATTTTGAGGGTTTTGTTAGGCGGTGAAGCACTTCATCCATCTTGGATTTCTGAGATTTACCCCTTTCTTGCTTGGTTTTCTGCATCTCTTGTGATCACCTAATGGTCAAGTTCACTACCATCTTCTCTCTATTGATGGGCGCTTCATCTATCCTTGGAGACCTCGTGTTCCTTTTGCTGTTAAGAGCCTAGGATTTGTTTTCCCCATTTTCTTGGCACCCAAACGACGCGATTCGGGTGTCTGCTTCAATGTAAACTTTTTTTATCCTGCGTTATAACGCCTTTTTTTTTTTTTTTCTGGTTTCTCATTAGCCTTGAAACGCGTCTCATGTAAACTGTGTGTTGTTTTGTAATGGTCGCTTTTGTTCATTCTCTACTTTAGGTTGTCTTATAACCATTTTCTCTAGAAGAGGCAATTTTATCGTAGTTTTTGAATTGATATATCTAGGGTTTCTTTCGGTGTTAGGAGAAGATTAATGAATCGTGACAAGTCCGCCACGAAATATTGGTTTTTGCTGGTTCGGCTATGTTAAACAGGGACTGAATAGTATTGCTTTCTTTTTCAGGAACAATTTGCTTTCTCTTCAGGTTATATAGGATTGTTGTCTCTTATTTATTTATCAGTTTACCTGCAATCCATCTGCACTGACTGAATTCCTCAATTTCGCCCGGTCAGCTTGAAGATAGAGAATGCTTGGTTTGAGGAAATCTCCCCTAAAATTTGTTAAACACAGTTCTGCTGAACCTGTCTATCCTGTTAAATCGGGATCAAATCCATTTGATTCTGATGATGATGAGCCAAAGGAAAACCCAAAAAATAATTCCTCGAATAGGACTCGTTCGGACCCTTCCCTAGTTTTACAGGGAGGAAAAACTAATCCCTTTGATGATGATGGAGGCGATAGGAACACTACTTCATCTTCTTATGCCCTTCAGTCAGCAAACCAAAACAACTATAGGAATGATTTTCGTGACTCAGGAGGAATAGAGAATCAATCAGTGCAAGAATTGGAGAATTATGCTGTTTACAAGGCTGAAGAGACTACAAAATCGGTCAAAAATTGTTTGAAGATAGCAGAGAACATAAGAGAGGAAGGTACCAAGACTTTGGTCACTCTACACCAACAGGGTGAGCAAATTACCAGGTCTCACCATGTTGCAGTTGACATCGACCAAGATCTTAGTCGGGTATTGATCATGTTTGTTAAGAGTTATCTAATACAGTTCTTTTACTATTCCTTGGAAAACATTCTGTCGCATCTTTCACTATGAAGCCCTCTATGAAGAACATCCAATTTTTATTATGGACTAAAAAAGATGAAGTTGTGACTTTTTTAATTCTGCTTACAGGGAGAAAAGCTTTTAGGAAGTCTTGGTGGTGTCTTCTCCAAAACTTGGAAACCAAAGAAGACACGATCAATTACAGGGCCTGTTATTGTTGGAGGTTAAATTTTTTTCTTCTTTTATCTCTTGTTATTTGGATTTTTCTTTCAGCACTATCATATGCATGATGGACTCCATAACACAGACGATCAGGTCCGAAGAAAGGGCAGCCACTTGGAGCAGAGAGAGAAATTGGGATTGACTTCTGCACCCAGAGGGAAGTCAAACATGCGAACATCGCCTCCTGAACCAACCAATGCTCTTGAAAAAGTTGAGGTTTGTATTTAATTAGGTGAACAATAGTTACGCCATTTAAAAATGCAAAAGTTGCTGTTTTGTATTGCCATTAGCAAGCGATTATGAGTTATAGTTTATCCCTAATTTTCAAATCACTGCTTGAGTTTTTTTTTAATTAATACATATATATATATATCTGTGGGTGACTGTCAATGGTATGCAATACCTTGTTAAAAGGCCTCTTAATCCTTGTTTGGAGTGCCCAGTGCGCTGTAGTTCCAACACTGAAGTGCGTTACACATTATTAAATGAACCAATATAACAACATTCTCAATTAAAACTAGCAGCATAGATGAAAAGCTTAAATAATGCTAAAATCATCAAGATCCATCTCAATAAATCATAAATTGTAGTTTTATCATATAATGTAATGAGTTGTGACAATAAAACTATGTTGAAAGAAATCTTGCAGGAACTTTTAATTGAAGGGATCTTTATCAGCAGATTCTTTGTAGGTCTTAGTTATTTGCAATCGGTACAGAGAAGTTTAAGCTGCTACTCTTTGAATTGTGTATCATGGAAATGTAAATTAGGCTGGTCTAGAGTTTTTGCCTTATTCTCATGTGCTGATTTAAATTTTGCAACGCCACAAGGTTTGCATGGCCCAACGTTCTTTCATCGCACCATACGCCATGGCATGCCATTAATAATTATGATCAACAATAATATTATATATACCTCAGCTAAGGTTTATTTCTTATTTTCTTCTATTTCACATAAACCTTTACCTTAAGGATAGGGAATTGTAGCTATTGCTATTTGTAGCTTTTGAAGCTCCAAATTCCAGTTCTTTACTCTCAGATAGTGAATGTTAAGAGGAAAAATGAGAAGGCTGGATTGACTTTTATGTGTGAATGTGTTGGCACACCAGATTACAATATCTTGATGTTTTCGCAACTCTCCATCTTTCTCTTTTTCCTGTTAAGCACATGTAGTCTCTAATAATTATCAATCCGACTCGGATATTGTAATTGTCATGTGATTTTCTCCATCTCTTCACATTGTGGTATATTTAATGCTTGATGTGGAATTTGGCTATTGTCCTGAACAGATTGAAAAGGGGAAACAAGATGATGCATTGTCAGATTTAAGCGATCTCTTGGGAGAGCTGAAACATATGGCTGTTGACATGGGATCTGAAATTGAGAGGTTAGTTGATTGGATTATATGTCTTTTAAGTTTAGCCTCAATAAATAACAAGTTGACTTGGGAATTGGAATTTGTTATCAAATTTTGCTTAGGACGAACTGATTGTGTAGTTATTGAGAACCACTTCATCTATTCAAATTTTCATAATTAATAGTGATTTTGGTAAAATTTCAGCCACAACAAGGCGCTGGGCCATATGTATAACGATGTGGACGAGCTGAATTACCGTGTGAAAGGGGCTAATCAACGTGGTCGCCGTTTACTGGGAAAATAAGTTTCACTAATTCCATTGAGCCATTCTCCTTCCTCATTTCAGGGTTGTTCTTACTTCTTATACAGTCAGGGAATGGGGGTTAATGCGTTGTTCTCCATTTGTATGACTCATTTTATAGTTCTATCACATAATTTTTATATTGGACCACCTTCAACAGTGGTCGTGTACGGCTGTGCTTGAAGAGAAGACCAATTCTTTATGGCTGTCCCATTTCAGAAGCTTGGTTCGCTTATGACCTTCTATAATCTATATGCTTGAAGGTCCGTGAATTAAAACGATTTACCCTTCTGGTTTAAAAAAAAAAGAGATTTACCCCTTCTCAACTGTACACCCACCGGCGCATAAGTTGTTGATTGTGTTAGCAGCGCTGCCTCTTCTCCTAGATATAAAAACCCAATTTATTTTATTTTTCATATTTATTATTTTTTAAGATAGTTTTTACAATGATTGGACATGGTAATTGTTTCATCGAATGCTAATTTTAACTAATTTATTGGATTAGTAATGGTATTTTTTAAAAAATAACATTTATTATAAATAATTAATTTAATTAATTTTTTTTAATCTACTTAAATTAATGGGTGTTTAGTAGCTTCTGTAAATGCTTTTCAAAAATATCTTTACACAAATTGAGATAATTGTTATCACATTTATTTAGAAAAATTGTAAATAAAGACCCTCCAAATATATATAAAATTATAATTTGGGATCCTGAATTTGAAAAATAGTAAATAAAGACCTGGTTTTATTTTTGTAAATATAAAATGTGAGTGAAATGTCTGAAATACCTCTCATTTAAATGATAAGTTGATTATAAGAAATGATAAGTTTAGTTTAGCAAATGACAACTTCAGTAGATTAAATCACAACTTGGCTGATGATATGTCAAATGACGAGTTGACTATGGGAAATGACAAGTTTATTTTAACGAATTACAACTTAAGTAGATCAAATTACAATTTGATTGAGGGACATTTCAGACATCTTACCACATTTCATATTTGCAAGAGTAAAACCAGTGCTTATTTGCTATTTTTCAAATTCAAGTTCCCAAATTATAATTTTACATATTCAGGGATTTTTATTTATAATTTCATATACCGTAAAATTATTTTTAAAAATCATAATTAGATTTTACCCAAACAACTCATATTAAAGAGGGAACATGCTAATATAATCAATCACCCAATGGGATGTTATAAAATATCATTCGCTCTCCAATTAAACTCAAGTATTGAAAAAAATAACTCGTCATTGAACCAATCAAACTATTAATTTACCATTGGCAATTGAATCAGTCATATTCAAAATTCAAATTAATATACGTTTGTTATATGCTAATTATTTTGGAGGAAAAGATTAAATATAGTACAAATATATAAAAATTAATTTCTAGCTAAGCAAGAGTAACATTTAAAAAAAAAAATAAATCCACTTTCCTTTCCCAGTTTCCAGTCACTATGCCACACGCAACAACAATAGAAGATCAAATCGAAAAAAAGATGAAACACTATCTCCGGTTTTTAATAAAAGTCTTTATTTAATTTTTATTTTGGTTCTAAATATGTTGTATGGTAGTGACTGTTAGGCAATAAAGGGAAAACAAGAGCACAAAGTTGGGGTGACAGAAATGAGGATGTTGAGATGGATGTGTGGTCATACAAAAAAAAAAAGGATTCGAAATGAAAATATCAGAATAAGAGTCAGTGTGACACCTATACAAGAGAAAATGGTTAAGAATCGCTTAAGATGATTTGGACATGTGCAGAGAAGGTCATTAGAGGCCCCGGTGAGGAGGATGGATCAGACAAGATGGAGTCCTATAAAAATGAACAGAGAAAGACCAAGAAGAACGCTTAATGAGGTCATTGAACGAAACCTCCTAGTCAACAATATATCTAAGAACTGGGTTGTTGACAAAATACGATGGTGTCGTGTGATTCATGTAGCCGACCCCACCTAGTGGGATAAGACTTGTTGTTGTTGTTGTATATAAAATTCTAATTCATTTTGTTTTTCATATTTATGCAATTTTTTTGAAAATAACCTTTCTAATAATTATAGTTTTAGCCAATACATTCGATTATTAAGGATATTTTAAGAAAGATAACACCTATTCATTACAAATAACTAATTTAATTTTTTTTTCATCTTATCAAATTATTTAACTGGTTCTTATAATTAGTAACAATTAGTAACAGAGCTAACCTCCCCAACAGACAGTAAGCTGCAGAGCCAGTGCAACGGAACATTGGCTATTGTCCTTTCGATCATGAAATCAGAAACCTCCAATTTTCAACGTCCATTCTGCCATTTGAGTATGAACCCATCACAATTATTACACGCTAGACTGCATTCTACGGAGGCCAACCCCGCCCCCCCTTCCCCCCTTCTTCCTATCTTTAAATTAGACAAACAAGAAACGGAGTCATGCTGAGATTTCATTCAGTCCTAGCAAAACGAAATGCTAACTTTGAAACCAGCCTACTCGCCTACTGGGCTACCAAAAAGTACCAATCCTAAAAAATGCTTTGAATTTGATCAGTCAGAAAAATGAAATCCATTGTAAAGGCTCAATCATAGAACAGAATGAAACAACAAAATAATACCTTATAGCCAAAATCAAGAACGAGAGTGCAAAACCAAGATACAGAAACCAATTATTATACAGGAATCCGCCTCTCAGAAACCCTAATCATGAATAGGAAGGAAAAAACCCTTGAAACCAAAAATGGAGAGCAACAAGAGCGGTGAATCATTGCTTTAAGTCCATGACGCTCTTGACCACAGGGGCGTAAAGCGATTGCACGATTGCCTGCCTCTTCGCAATCTCGAGCTGGGTCTTGCCTTCAGAATAAGCGGAAGCAATGGAAGCTTGGTCGGTGAGGTTTTGGTTGTGCCGAAAGGCGTCAATGGTTCGGCGCTTGGTGTATTCCCTGATGTTGTAATCGGGGAACTGGCGAGCCGTGCGGAGGAGAGAGCGGAAGAGACAAAGAAGTTGCGCTCTTGACGGAATATTCGCTGATAAACCCGCAGAAGCCATCTCCCCTCCCTCACCCACAAACCATAGCCTTAAAACCCTTTCTGTTTCAGTATTTTTGTTTTATACTGATCCGCAAACAGAGTCAAAGGGCGCGTTTGGTAAGAAAAAAATGTTATGAAAATGGAATGAGCGTGGTCAATGGCATTTTTTTAAAAAAAAATATATATACACAGTTACACACATACAATGTGCATTATTTACATTTGATTTGTTTTATGTTTTCATAGATAAATGACTTGATTGGCAAAAAAAAAATAGATACTACCTCTGATTCTAATTATACGAGCTAGTTGACTAATTTGAGGAGATTAAAGAAATAAGTTAAATTAGTTATTTGTAATAAATAGGTGTTGTCTTTTCTAAAATATTCTTGCTAGTCAAAAATTTATTGGCTAGAACTATCATTATTAGAGGGACTATTTTGGAAAATAATGTATAAATATAAGAGACAAAGTGGATTAGGATCTTATAATTAGAACCAACATAAAAATCAAACAAGGGCTTATATTAAGGACCAGAGGTAGTAAATGATTTGATTTGATGATTTAGTTTTTATTCTATTTTTAATTAGAAAACGTTCATGCTTGGAACTATTCGTTTTTACCTTACGTTTTTAAATTTCAGCACACAAAAAATTATACTTCTCAGTCCTAAATATAAGATCTTTCTTGTAGTGTAATTTATACTCTAAAAAAAGTCTTATATTTAGGACCGGAGAAGTATTATTTAAATCAAAGCATCCTTGGTCTAAATTTGTAAGAAAAGACAACAGGTATTGAGGAAAAAAAATACAACTATAACGCAAAGGAGTAACAGTTGCGTGTTGAATATGAATGAAGTGAAGGGGAGGAAACTTTGGTTCACTAAATTAATGGGTAGATGGAAATTAATACATTAATGGAAAATAATGCAGAGAAAGAAAAATTATTGGTAGTTTGTTTGCATTTGGACTTCCTTCTTTCATATCTCAATCTGTTGGCAACACAAACCACGATTCCTCTCCTAAAGAGGGAATAGCAACATATTAACTTCGTTTCTTAATATAAAAAAATTTGTTAGATTTTTATTTTGATCTTAAATATAAGACTCTAATTCATTTTGTTTCTCATATTTATCTGTTTTTCTAAAAATAGTCTTTATAATAATAGTAGTCCTAGCTAATATAATTGATTGGGAGGGATATTTTATGAAAGACAATATTTATTTATTAAAAATAATTAAATTAACTAGGTTTTTTAATATATACAAATTATTTAATTAACTCTTATATGAAGTACCGGAGGCCGTATTAAAAAACTGGTTTTTTTTTTTTTTGGGGTGTCAGACGTGTTTGCAGTTTGAAGTTAAGAAAGCCGGAAGGCAAACGATGGGTGGTAAGTTAATTGTTGAGATTAAGTGCATGTGGGTGTGGATATGTGATTGACAGAAACAGAGAGAGATGCTTTACGTGGTTTATAGGCAGCTTGTGAAGCAGATTTTGCTTTGCTTGTTTGCATTTTCTGTTCATAAAGTTTTAATCTTTTAGCTGCACTTTCAATTGTATATATAACATCTGATTCTGTTCATCTTCACATCAATCGTTCAAGTTAACCCACAAGTTTAGGACGGCACCAAATTGGCCACACATATTTCCGTTTCAAGTTATGGAAAATAGGCTCAAGCAAAGGTAGCCAACTTCCCAAACTGGATTTGTTTTATCCTTTTAATTTTAACGTTAATTATTCGTGTATTATAAAGGGGGTGTTTAGTTTAACTTCAATCTTGTGTTGTATGAGGTAAATATGTGGAAGCAGTTCTATTTCATAAAGGAAATGAATCCAAACCGCCATGTAGCATGTGACCTGTTTACACCAAAGTAATCTTGATTTTTGAACGCTAATGCAATCTGAATAATGAAACTGAAACAACATTTCAAAAGTTTTGCCCTCTTAATATTTACATAATTATTTTTAGCGTTTAAATAAACTAGACATGTCGTGTCATTGACTTGCTCATCGTTGGATAAAATTAATGTTGTGGGTTATTATGTGAAAATGGAGTAAGAGACGAGGAGCACACAACTGCAGTTGCTGCTGCTGCATTTGCCATTTATTCACTGTATCTCCGCAGCTTGAAAGAGGTTCCCATTTCTTCTTCCAGAAATATCACCATAAGACAAGATTCAACTCCCACTTACGGTAGCCATTCATCAATCTTCCCTCAAACATGTTTCTTTCTCAATGTACAACGATAGTATAAATAACAGAGAGATATAGACAAGTAACGTATTTGGCTGTCTGTGTGTCTAGCAAGAGAAAATGCTTTCTCCGTTAGACCCTCTCCTCAGAACCAGAGGACTCCAATTCCACCACCCCCCAATGATTTCAAAACCAGAGCTGATGTTTGGGAAAAGGCCAACCTGCAGAAGATTCACAGACGGTATGCATTAGACTTTACTAAAGAAAAATCTTACTTTTAATTAGAACTCTCACCGACGGTGGCTTTATTACTGAAATAAATCAAGTAGTACTTGACATGATCGCTTGAACTGTGAGAAAAATTTACAGGTATGAGAAGATAAAGTCCAAAATTCTTTCCTGGGAGACTGAGCAGAAGACGCAGGCCAAACTTCACTTGGAGAGGAAGGTTTGCGTCGGATCTTGGAAATCTGTTACGGTTTACCGTCTTATGAATATCATTATCTCATGGTTTATGGAACAACAGAACTTGATGGATCCCACCACGAGGGCAGTGGAACAACAACGTTACCAGAACAAAATAGCAAGGGTTGATATGATAGCACGAACAGCTAAAGCGCAGTTAGAGGAGAAGCGGAGGAAAGAAGAGTCTCAGGTCAGAGAAACAGCAAAACAAATCAGAGAGACAGGCAGGGTCCCCGTCAAATGTTTCTGCTGCTTCATATTTTAATCAGAACAAAATATTAAGTTTTACATGTGCTGGTTTCACCTTGTTTTCTAATCTTGATTTAGAAATTTAATAACTTTGTGCAAAACGAAGATTGGATATGTAATGCCACCGTAGTGTGCTGTTCAAATTGTTCATATTGCAATATACTTCACTTGCAAGATATTCTAGATAACTAGCCTCAGGCCTCAGCTTGTTGTTTGTTATATGCTACACACACACACACACACACAGGTAATGTAATGACAAGCTACTCAAGATGTTTGGCGTGTAAGTCACGTATTATTTGAGCAAGGATACCACTAAAATTATCGTCAAGCTTGCATTAGACCAAAAAAAAGATTATGCTAAGCCATTTACCTCAGAGTGCCAGTGCGCTCTCTGATAGATAATATTCTAATTTACCTTAGAGGATCATGTACCTTATTGCCTTCAAATTCAATATCAACTTAATTATTATATCATTATATGAGTCAAACTTAGCAAATTCTTGCCCGCTCCTCTGTCTAGTGTTTCCCCCTCTGTTTGGCTTTTGCTTGTTCAGATTAGCATAAATTCGTCTTGATCCCTCAAAAATCAGTGCACAAGATAAAATATATGGCAAGTGTTAAAATAATCGTAGCTATAAAAAGGTTTTGCAGACGAAAAAACTTGGCCGCAAAAGACAACGTCTATCTAATAATATAACTAATCCTGATCATCCCTTTAACTTTGGCCTTGCGCTTTGATGCTTGCGATGCCCTAAGTACAAGAGAACCCATCTTATGTGTTTGAACATGTCAAATGTCTCCCATCCCATATGATATAAGCCCCCTACGGTTAATTTTCATGGGACGGTTATCACAAGTATCCACAACTATTCAATACACATACAAGTTAGCAACGACTATTGAGAATGCTGACGCATGTGCCACCAACAAAATCTCCTCAATTTCCAAATATTCACACTTTAACATCAAGGTAAATACACGAAACAACATCAACAATCCGATCCACAACACTCACAGTTGCGTTTCAGAAAGCTTAAAAATAAAGCCATCACTTTCTGAACCGTGCTCTTCCTTCTAGTCTGATTCTCATACATAAATTTACCATTTTTTACATAAAAGTTATATTTTCAACATGCTCTGTTCTTATTTACGTGGGTGTGGCCTCCAGACCAGGAGAATCAAGAGATATTACTGTCTCAAATGCACCAACCAAAGCCTTGACCTTGCTCTGTCTGAGTTCAGCAAGCTTGGTTGCGGTCTCTTCAATCACATTATTGTATAAACGCCGGGTAACTTCCTTCCCAAGCAAATTTTGGTGTCTTAAAACAACTTGCTGAGATCCTGATGCTGAACCATCAATCTTGCTTCCGTCTACAACTTTTCTCCCAAAATTTCTCCTTTTATTTCTTTCCACAATTTGGACCCTGGGCATAACATTTTCAGATTTTGTTTTTGCATCATTTGATTCACCTTTGTCAGCTTCTTTCCATCTCCTGATCCATTTTCTACTTTCAATCTTTTCTCTTTCAGTGTCACTAAGCAAGCGTGCAGGACGAAATTTGAGTCTTCGAGGAACAGGAACATTGTCTTGAGGCTGAAGTTCAATCACCTTTCCCCTTCTGAAACTCAATTTACGGGCCGGAATTACTTTATCTCCTGCCCCACCTATTGCACTCATCTTCGGCCTGATTTTGAACCCAACCTTTACATTTTCACCTGGATACTGGTTTCCTCTTTTGCTGCTCTTAAAAGTGGCACCATTTTGTTTTCCAATGAAAGAGTTGGGTGCAGGAATAGATGATTCTGTTGCTGATGGCAATGATGAGGATGATGAAACACTATGTATTATATGCTGCATTCGTCTCTTGACTTTAACCCCCGAAGGCAGGGGAGAGGGTTTCAGAGATGTGGTTAGACGGTTTCCATTGTCAGCATGTTTAAAGGTCCTCCTTGAAGATCGTAACCGTGACAATGAAGATGGGTCTGATGAAGTATTATGCTTTGTATTCTGTGCCTTTCTATTGACTTCGATCCCAGAAACCGAAGGAAAAGAAGCTGTAGATTTAGTTTGATGATTTCCTTGGTCACCATGTCTGAAGATCCTCCTTGAAGATGCTGATTGTGACGGTGGTGATAAAGATGATGAGGCAAGGGTTGTTTTCTGCGTGTGTCTCTTGTCCTTAATCCCAGAAGATTGAGGATAGGGTGCCAGAGATTTAGTTGGATGAATTCCATGGGTAGCATGTTTAATGCTCTTCTTCGAAGATGCAGGAGATCCACACTCACTGATTTTCTCAGAGTCTTGCTCCGAGCTTTTTTCCCCAAGTGATGGTGAGACCAAAGACAGGTTAGGAGGATCACAAGCCAGAGTAGGCTCCATAGATTTCTCAACAGTGGTAGGCTCATCCACATTCAAAATTTTTTCTTGTGAATTATCGCTGCTGGTTGGCTCAGGTATGACTTCTTCAACATTCTTTTGAATTTTTAGATTAGCCCCTTCCTTCAGGTTCTTGGCAGTCTTAGAAGTTGTGCTTGAAGATTTCTTTACATAGCGCTTTGAAGATAAGGGGCTGCTAGTTGGTACTGATCTCCTATTGCCACCAACTGGAGATGCCCTTATCTCTTTGATTCTTCCTTCGCTTGTATTCTTGCTGCCAGAACCAAAAGGACTTCTGCTTTTCTCTACTTCCCTGCTCGTTTGACTCTTAGAAGATTCCTGCACTGGCAGAGCAGGTTGCCCTGATTGTTCTTTCTTTATATCAATGGGATTATGGTCCATGGAAACATTGGTTTCCACAAAGGACATTAATGTTTTATCTGCAGGGACAATTCCACCCTTTGGCAATTGATCCTTCATGGTTGTTTCAGGCTTTCCCAATTTTAAAGTTGGAGAATCATTCAAACCGCTTGCTGATTTCTTCATCCCTGCCACAGAAATAACGATTTCTTCAGAAGCTTTGGTTTTTCTACCACTGGCTATGAATTTTTTCCCTGCGGCACTCCGTGGCTTAGCTTCAGCAGAATGTTGGATGCCATATTTGCAATAATCATGGCAGGAAGGAATCCGACTACTTAGATAACGAGAAGGAATCTTGGGTGCACCTTTTACAACAACCGGCGTGTCGTTAGAATTTGCTATCTCATAACCATCTTCAACCCCATTTTTCTCACCATTGATTTGGGCATCAATACCTTCCGCCATCATTACTGATCAAGATGAAGAAACTTCAGAGCCCCTGCAACAGATGAAAGCCTTCTGAGAGATGTTAAAACAAAAGGGGGAGGGGGGAATTCTTGTCAGAACAACATGATACCACAACTTCTTTCTTATTTGATTTTACATCTAAGGTCAATGTTCATTGAGAAGCAAGGGAATCCAGTCCATTGGCACGGTGCGAAGTTCCTATTTCAATCTTGAGCCAGACCATCTATAAAGGAAATGATGGGGAAGAGGGAGGCAAAACTAGATTCTCATGACACATTGTGAGTGAGAGTGCTTGTTCAACAACCTAAAAAATTTCAAAGAGGATAACTTAGGTGTAGCACGCGTAATGGTTAATCTCCATGAAGAATCTTATCCGGTTTATTGAGAACTTCTAGTGAAACATAAACACTAGACAGCAATATGTATAAAAAGAAAAAAGAAAACATAAATGAGCCCCATTGATTCTTGATAAATACAAACCAAACTATTAAAAAAATGAAAATTTTACCCAGATCACAAGACGGATAATATCCTTGAAGCACACTTTTCTTGGCAAAGAATATCAATCGCATGTCAACGCAATGAATTTCGAAATAAGGACGCAGCTCAAATAGACTCCAAAGTTGATGACAAAGTGTAATACAAGGTTAATGTCATTATCAAATCATTGCAGAGGGTGAATTGTGTAAGAAAAACAAAAATAGAAGAAAGACTCGTCCGTACGAAATTAGAAAGTTTACAAACATCTCAAATACACCCAGAAGAAAAAAAATTTCTTTTTTTTTTTGGGGGGGTGGTTTGCGTGCTGGAGAAGAACCGATTTCTAAATGGAAGACAGAATTCAGTCTCACCCGGGAAAAGAATATGATCTCGGAAGAACACGAGACCAATGAACATAAGAGCACAAGCCTTTGGACTAGCCGATAAAATCAATAATTCTAATCAAGAGAAGGAACCAGAACATGCGCAGACGATATCATTAACATTCCAAAATCGGAAAGTCCGATAGAAATTGACCATGATATAGTTTGTCCAAGCAGAAAGCACGTTATATGGCGCGAAACAATCAGGAAAAAGGAGTGAAAGAGCGCATACCTTCTCTCTGGGATTGAAGAAAGAAAGAAAGAACAAAACAACGAAGGTCTGGGCGATTGGGCGTCTGAGAAATGGTCGGACGGAATTCAAAACTCAGAAGGAGGAATTCATTAGTTGGGTTGATCGTTGACTCGGAGCGCAAACGCGTTTGAAGCGACAAAGTAACCGACTGCCCAGGGGGAAGGGAGAGAGAGAGAGCCAGCGGGAAGAAAGAATAATAACAGTCTGTCTAGGGAACCATCATCCAACCATGCAACATGATTGCAAAGGCACAGCCACACTGGACCAGGGAAGAAGGAGGCACGTCAACATCCATATCCATCCCCCTTCCCACTTCACCTTTTTCTCTCTGCTTTCGCTTCTTTTTTCCTGCCACCAACTTTTCCCTCTTATTACAGTCATCGTCCCGCGAGCCACCATTGATTCCCAATCACATGCACGCAATCGACTTCAAAGGGCTGCTCCTTATATTCTTTTCGTCGGAAATTCAATAATTCTTTTTTTTTCCATTATTGGAAATTCAATAATTTACTGCTATGATATGAGTGGTTCATCATATTAATCATATATATAGGTCCAGGTCAAAAAAAAAAATCATATATATAGGGTTGTTATTAGAACAGTGCTTCTTAAGCACGTAAAGGTAAAATTATTTTGACTCTCTTATATAAAAACTTTTGTTCCTTATGTCTTGTGAGTAATTTTCATTTGCTAAAAATTGATAAATAAGGTGTTCACCCAAAAAAAAATTGATAAATAAGTTACTACATGTGTTTCTTAATATAACAGCTAGTTGACTAATTTAAATAGATTAATAAAGTTTATTAAGTTAGTTATTTGTAATAAATAAGTATTGTCTTTCTTAAAATATCTTTGCTAATCAAGTATATTGGTTAGAACTACAATTATTATAAGGACTGCCTTAAAAAAAAGGAAAAAGATAAGAGACAATGTGAATTGGGATCTTATATTTAAGATCAGAATAAAAATCAAACAAGTTCTTATATTAGGGTTGAAGGTAGCATTATATTAAGAATGCATAATTCGTTATATTTACACCAAGCTACTGTGAAAAACTAAAAATATGCACTATACAATACAAAATGTGCGATTGAATTAGTTGTGGAGAAATTATTATGGGAAAAAAATTTTATCCCATAAAATATAAAGGTAAATGACTTTTTTTCAGTTAATACAAACTTTGACTCTTTAAATTTATTTTTATTTTCGTTTTGATCCTTTTTCATTTAAAATATTAGTCATTATAATCTAATAAAAACTTAAACCATTTTGTTCATTAAAAAAGCAAGCCTATAGTTTGAAACGTTATAAACCAAAATCAAAATAAAAAAAATTTAAGAGATAAAAATTATATTAAATTTTTTTCCCAGTCATCCAATCTTGCCACCTTATGGCACATGGAAAAGCTATTGAAGATTAATATTTACTACATCCGGTCCTTATTATAAGACCCCGTTTGACTTTTTATTTGGTCCTAATTATAAGACCCCAATTCATTTTGTCTCTCATATTTATACATTTTTTTTCAAGATACTCCTTCTAATAATAATAGTTATAGCCAATATACTTAATTAGCAAGGATATTTTAGGAATGACAACACTTATTTATTACAAATAACTAACTTAGCTTACTTCCTTAATCTCCTCAAATAAGTTAACGGGGTCTTATAATTAGGACCGGAGGTAGTAATATCCATACTCTTTCTTTTGTTTTGTTGTTGCTGAGCGTAATGCTCTTAATGGGTTGCCATTCTCTTTAGTCCTTAGCCCTGTCATGTTAAAACTTTATGTAAATTGAGGCAACAAAATTTTCACAACTTATTATCTCATATTCTGATTAAAAAATTATTTATAAATTATTCCAAACAGATTTTAATTCCCAAGGATATGCTGTCATATTTACAAGCACGTTTGCTGCCATTATAGTGGTTTTAGCTGTCTAGCTTCTCCCATAATATTCATAATTTCATAAAGAAAATAGTTTGACTCAACTTTAGATTTTATTAACATTGTACTCCCTCGTCTTGCATATGGGAGTTAATTGTTGGCAACAAAAAATAAAGAGTTAATTGAGATATTTATTTTGATCATAGCTCTAAGGTCTTGATTCCATTTATCTCCAAACTTTATAATTTTTTCTTAAATTACATTCCTTGATTTCATGTATTAAAAATGTTTTTCTCGCTCATGTAATTTTCAATACACATAATTAAAGATTGTAATTTTTTTTGGTGAGGTTAAAGAGTGTATATAAAGAAACCTAACACATATTTTTTCATAAAATGGTTAATTTAACTAATTTTTCTAGTTTTTATAAATTATTTATTTAGCTCTTGGGAAAGAATATAATATATTTTTTTGAATACAATGTATACTACTTTTTTTTTTGGGTGAAACAGGGAACTGAAATAGAAAGTGAGTTTGGGCATAGAGTACGAAGAAACGAACTGTATTCATTTTCCTGGGCTGGGCCTATACTCATTCTGAGCTCTGTCTTCTTAATGGACCCACTCCCTCATTCTTCCCTTTGGGTTTTGCTTCCAATCTCCACTGCTATTTTCTTATTGGCCCATAATCTCAAATGCGTTATTGTTATTCGTTAATCTTCCTGTTTGGTGGGTTGGTTGTTTGATTTTGAATAAAAGTACAAGGGAAAATTAATTTGGAGGTCCTTATAGTTTTCTTTAATTTTGAATCAGGTCCTTGAGGTTTTTTGTCTTTTTATTAGGTCCTTTAACTTTTTATCATTAAATTTATGAGTCCTTGCCGTTAAAGAAAGCAAACACCGTTACATCTTTCTTCTCTGTCGTGCTTGAACTCACTGTTCCTGCTCAAAACCAAAGGAGCATCAAAAGCCAAGCAATCAATCCATTCATTTATAGCTCCTTCTAACTCGTATCTCTGGCATCCATATCCTTCCCGCCACTTCCAAGTTGGGCCTCTTCAGCTTCTCTCCTCCACTTTCCTCCGTAGAATCAGAAAGCATGGAGAGTTTGATAAGACCACATCAAACTAATCATGACTTTCACTACCAGACTCATCATCATCTTCAACAATATCATTAGTTTGATTCAAACTCTAGTTTCTCAAATGGATTTGGGACATGAGGGCTCTTGGACTGGCTCTCTTCATGCTCATTTTGTTCTCACCGTCGAGCTCCTTGGAGGCCATGAAAGTCCATCTCTCTCGTCTTTCTCTACTGATTCATTGTGTTGTCTCTTTTTCATGTGGGTTTGATGAACAAACTCGTTTCATAGTTAGAGTAATGAGCCTTCTTGCTTTTCAAGAGACGTGATATCGTAGAAGAACTGGGAAGCAACGATGAGATCACAGGACGTTGAAGGTGTAATGGCAATTTTTAACAGTGTTTGCTCTATTTAACAGCAAGGACCAATAGATCTAAAAGTAAAAAGTTAAAGGACCTAATAAAAAGGAAAAAAAAGCTCAAGGACCTGATTTAAAATTGAGAAAAACTATAAGGACCTCCAAATTAGTTTTTCCAAAGTACAATATAAACCCACAAGTAAGCAAATTAGGCATAAGTCAGATGTGAGGGGCGGGGGGAAAAACAAATCCAACTTCCACTGAGAGGGAAACAGTTCTAAAAAGGCTGCGGAATATCTCTATCATATCATGCAATGAATACTTGAACCTCCGAGATTTTCGTGGAGATGAAGCATTCCCAGAATGTGCCTGTGATTGATTGGTCCTGGACCGTCGGGCCAAGTGGAAGAGATCTCTGACATTCATCCTTAAATGGCTCCAAAACACGGAACTCGGTCGTTATTCTCTCAACAAGTACTTGCCGATATCAATTTAATGATATAAAATCTTCAACAAGCATATTTCTTCGTGATACAAATTTGGAACAGTATATTTCTTCAGATTCCGCACATGTGGGACTCATGGGGAAGAAGTTCATACAATTTCTTAATGTGTTCTTAGCAGTATAGTCTGAGAAATGCATTCAACGGCACAAACTGCAACATCCATCATGCAAGAAACTAAAATAAACAGAAGATAACTGTCATTTCTATTGGGAACAAAGAGGCCGGACTATCAGTTCCAACGATGTTTTCGTATACAAATTCACAACGATTCTTTCTCTATCCTACACATTGCCATGTATTACTGTTTAACAAAACAGTTATAAAACGATCCTGTAATTCATAAGGAATAAAACCCCCATTAAAAATCCATACACAGTTATGGAATCAATCATATACATACCCTTGAGAAAAACTCTGGGTTACTGGTTGGATATCTGTGCCCCCTTCTCTTCTTACATGTTCTCTCCCAACTCACTAGAAGGCCCCTTTTCTCAATTCTCAAATCAGTGTCATCAGTTAGATGCTTCAACAATGAGTCTGAAACCTTGGAAGCTAAAGTACGAGACCTCTTCCTCCCCCTACCTGCACTTCTTAGAGAAACCGTTTCCAAGTGAGTGCCAGCAGCGTCCATGAGACCTTCTATAATTTGAAGATCCTCTGTCACCTCACACCTTGACAATGCAGCAACGCTCGGAAGGATTTCGCTCCGAAAGTTCCTCTGCCGCCTACCCCTTTTAGTAGCTTGGCCCTTCCTTGGGTGGCTCAGTGAAGAGCCACCTTCTTTCCCATTTTGATCAGTGATCTTATTACAACAGCAATCTAGGTTCTCTGCCTCAGTCAACTTCAAGGTCATGGCCTCAAAGTAATCAATGCCAGCAGGCAGAAACTCCTCAAGATCATCAGCGGTCTTACCATTGCAATCCACCTTTGCCTCATTCTTGGGGTGATCCTTTATTGAAGAGACAATTTTGGCAAACCAGTGAAGAGGACCATCCCTGGAAGATTCAGACGGGCGGAAATCAGTCATTTGGGGATCATTAGGGACCACAAACGCTGATATAGAAACCAGAGCCTCTGCTGCAATTCTAACTTCATGCTCTTGCCCCTGTGGGTCCTCTTGCCCTGAAAATTGGTAAGGCATTTCAAGCTGCTTTTCATCAGATTCTCCCCTGGCTGGGGAACACTCACTGTTCTGCTGCAGACTCTGCGGTGCCTGGAAATGGTCATCTACTGGAATATCCACATCTTCATTCAAGCAAGAATTAAGATCAATGATTCTTGTCAGACAATTACGTTTCTTGTCATGTTCATTCTTCTTGTCACCCCCAGGCATCTGTCCTCCCAAGTCAGGCAGATTACAAGAACTATTTACACTAAGCACACAATCCCTCCCAATTTCCTCAATCTTTTGATTGTCAGATTGGATCTGACAGATGTTGGAAGGGGAGGCATGAGAAGAAGGTAGATCAAATGGAGTACAAGGCTTTCCATTAACAGGAATCACAAGAATCTTGTCCTTACACAAGTCACTTCCCCCAACTTTCTTAATCTCAAAACCATGTATACCTCCCAAATAATGTTTTAAAATGACAGGTTCCTGTTGGGTAGAAATTTTACTATCTTCTCCATCGAGTTGTCTCTTGGGTACAGGCTTTTCTAGAAGCCAGGGCAACCCCTGCCTTGAATCTTGAAACTTGTTCTGTTTATCATTAACCCAAATGCTTTGAAATGCCATTGTTTCAGAACAAACAGCTGGCGTAACATTCAAGTTAGTGTTCTTGGGATCCTCCACACCTTCAGAAACAGGTTGAGCACTGCTTGGTCCAGGCACCAAGCCATCCCTGCTAGGACCTTGAGTTCCTAGAGGTATCTTGTCAACAGAATTCTTTTCTTTACTCCAAGTTCCAAGGTTAATTTGATCTGATGAACGAAAGCCTGGAAGGTCATTAACATGTTCGGGCTTCTTATTTAATGCTTCACATTGAGAAAATATTTTATCTGCATCAACAACTTTAGCAACAGAATCCAAATCAGCACCACGCTTCTCTGAAAAAGGAGGGATTACCATATCAGAACAAAGGGTGACAAACATACTAAGAGTAAATTGCAAACAGCTCCACTGAGTTTTTTCCTTCCTTCTTTCTTTTTTTTTTTTAGGCCAAACTATGTGGAAAAAAAATATACATTCTTTCTTTATTATTATTTTCGCATATTGCATATAAAATCTACTTGTGTATGGTTTTATATATTTGGATATATATTACATATTAGTATTTAGATTAATGAAAGACTATTTAGCCAAAATATTTAAATTTGGACTTGAGAATATATTTTGAAAGTAGAAGTGTGTAATTGTAGAAATATAAAATATTCACGAAAGACTTGTGAAATTTACTTAAAAACTAAAAGTGAAAACAAGAAGCACTACAATAACCAGAATGCAAGTAATCTCACCATTTGAAGTATAAACTGACACCTCAGCCACTCTGGAAACCCTCTCGTCTTCCACAGAGTCACCTTCTTCACAATCAATGTACTCATCAGCAGGAAGTTCAAGATCCAAAATTTTTTTACCGACTTTCTTGTAGTTGCAATTTGATGGTTTGGGGTCTTTCAATAATCCTCCAACTAGAGATACACCAGGACCAGGATCAATGCATAATTGCCTGATCTTTTCTTGCACAGAACCCAAAGGCAACAGAGTGCTTTCAGCAACTAAAACAGATGATTCACCAGCTGCCAAAGCTAACTTCGGTGAGCAGCACCCCTTTGGGGCATTTTCAGATGATACATGAGACAAAGCACCCGACCATGATATCTCTATGCGTAAATTATTATGTTTATATAACTCATTCCTTCTAAGTTCATCCATTAATTCCCTCTGCTTCCGGTAAAGGCGGTGAAGCTCATGAATCTGAACAGCAATGTGCAGTTAACAGAAATAGAAAGTAATTAAGAACTTGATGATGGTACATGAATACTAATTAATTACTGCAAATGACAACTTACCCCAACTATAATTTACTATACATGAACTAAGAATACAATAATATTCAATCAAAGATATGAAATTTATAATTAAAATATTACCATTAATGGTGCTAATCTTTTATATATCTCATTCATTCAAATCAGTAAACTTGTCATCCGCTTTGTCAGTGTCATGAAGCAACATAAAAATCAGACCCAAATATTTGCTATGAGAAATTTTCTCTTACATCTCAATGTATTGTAGATTCCAATACATCCTCAGGATGCCAGCAAACAGCAGGTCCTTAAGACACTTGTCCCTCATGTTTATAAAAAGATAAATAAGAAGGATAAAGAAATTTGTCCATTTATTCAGACTATAGTCAACTCTTACACAGAAAGATATAGTACATGTAGAGTATAAAACAAGCATTTGAAGAAAACACAAAGCACAAGGTCTTCAAGACAGGCAGAAAGGATTAATACAGATAACACAGGAAGAACCAAGTTAATATTTGATATCATGAATCCTATGTATCCAGAAGTGAAAATGGAACATACTTGGTCCTTAAACATGGCTTCGTGCTTGAGTATTGTCTGTTTCACTAGTTCCTTGTCATATCCAAGAATGTGAGTGGGTGAAGGTACTGACAAGGAATAGTGGTGGTGACAATCATTAATCAGTTTGCCTTTACCATTAGAAGAGGTCCAATTGTTGCCTTCAGTACCAAAGATGAAATTCCTTGCGGAATAAAATCTGGAGGGGCACCCATTAGTTTGCACATTTGCACCCATTTCCAACAAGGCCATATAAGATAAATGTAGAGGTTGCAATTAACCAAAATATGGCATAATAAGCTCAGTTTCCATGGAAGGAAGGCCTGCAATCAGATCAAGAGTAGGTTACTTTTCTTAACTCTCTTTTTTTTTTTTTTGGGGGGGGGGGGTTATTCTGAAAAGTCCTTTCAAGCCACCAAAGAAAATAGGCCACCTGTTTGACAGACGCATGTATGCTTTGACACCAGAAATAAAAGACTGACAGTTATTATTAAAGCAATCCTTCAAGGTAAGGTATCTGTGTGCACAAAGAAACAAGTATCAATTAATTAATAAAATTGGATGATTCTTATCCATGACTGCCATACTTGCACAGCTAAACCAACACCGAATTTGCAATCAGGGCATAATTCAAGATCAACAGGACTTCGAAATGTAGAAATGCAAGTCAATCTGCATGACAACAAAATTAAAAGGGCAACATCCATCCACAACTTGCCAATCACAATCATTTGCCCAACTGATTTGTGCAAATATATTGCTGGAAAGCATCACTGCTTCAGGGCAGACGAGTCTATTATAGTTTTATCGAGAAACCTTAACAAACAAAAACAGCGAGATCATCAAGAGACTTTCATTCCAAGTAGTAAATAAAATGAGCATTGAAGTCCAAATGGACCAAATCCCGTCCTTCTGATTGTGGGGAGGGAGTCACTAAAAATAATAATAATAATAATAATAATAATATAGGAAAAAAATTTGACTGCCGTCAAGCCACTCGATAATCTCAGCAGAAAATCAATCTTCTCAATGAGAATCAGATATCTAAAAGTATGAAATCCTAGGCCAATCATCAAGCGAGGAAAAATGTCAGGAGTTATTCTCGCATTCTATGACAAAGGAATGTGCAGTATCTTTCACTGCCGACAGCTGAAAGAAGTTCAATCTTTTCATTTGATATCCAAAAGAATAACAGAACGAACGAAGGGAGGACTTGAGTACCGCATTCGTAGCTAGAATTTTCAGAGAACCCAAACGAATATCACAAATTGGGAGAAGCGAAGTACTCTACTCACTGACACAAACTGATACCGACCCTCAAAAACTATCCAAATACGATAAAGTATCGATTAAAACCATCAAAATCAACGATAATAAACTGATGAACTACGGAGAACAAGGAACATGAAAATCAACTAAACCCATTTCCAAACTGACAAAAATGTTCCACAAGAATGGCACCGATAGAAACATACACGAAGAAGAAAAAACTAACGCCCGCCACCCCAACAAAACCCGATGAAAGAATCGCTCATTGTTCGTCGACACTTGCTATGAGGCAGAACAGAGCAAAACAACAACCTGAAGAAAGCCAGAAGCCTGGAAAGGAAAACACAGTGACCCAGAAGAGTTGAAAAATCAAAAAGTAAACCTTTCCAAAGGACCAGTGAAAGAAGATAAAACGGGGATTTGGATCTACTGGGCCATTCTCTCAAGGACGATTTCAGAGGCAGAGAGAGATAGCAAGAGAAAAGACCCCAAGAATAAAATCCGAACGACGAAACGAGACTTACATGAAGAAAGGACATCAAAGTTGTCAACACCACTATCGTCTCTTGTTCGTCGCTTTCTCATTTACGTTTGTTTTTGGATTTCTTTTTCTTTTTTAATTTTTTGGGAGATTGAGATAATATGCATGTCTTTCATCCCCTAGATTCTCTCTCCCGATATTTGTTTCTGAATAAACATAGGAGTACTAAATAAATTTCGCAGCCAACAATCCAATAATTCCAAAATAAAAAACAGACAAGAAGTGCTGCTCGGTCCATACCCCGGACTTCCGCAGCGAGAATCAGAAAGTTCCACTTTTTAACCCACCTTGATGCTTCCAATTATTATTATTACTTATTTTATTTGGATTTGTCGTTAGGACAGTGATATGGGTCCCACTCCTGTAATTTCCACTCTCTTAACTGGTAAGTTTTCGTCTGAGGAAGCGTTTCCCCCATCTTGCCGCCCCATCAACGAGGCACCGTTTAATCCGTGAAGTGTGGTGAAGAGTGTTTTTCATTTTATAGCTTTTTGTTGGGATAATAGAAAGAAAAGCGTACCCAAAAACGTATAACTGATGGATTTTTTTTAAGTTAAAATTTTCACGTAAATAAATACTGCATCCGGTCCTAATTATAAGAGCTAGCTCACTAATTTAAAGAAATTAAAAAAAGTTAAATTAGCTATTTGTAATAAATAGGTGTTGTCTTTTCTAAAATATCTTTGCTAATCAAGTATATTGGTTAGAACTACTATTATTAAAAGGATTATCTTGAAAAAAATACATAAATATTAGAGACAAAGTGGATTGGAATCTCATATTTAGGATCAAAATAAAAGTCAAATAAACTCTTATACTACCTTCGGTCCTTAATATAAAACCCTGTTTGACTTTTATTTTGGTCCTAAATATAAGACCTCAATCCACTTTGTCTCTTATATTTATGCATTTTTTTCCAAGATAGTTCTTATAATAATTATAGTCCTAGCCAATATAGTTTATTAGTAATGATATTTTAGGAAAGACAACACCTATTTATTACAAATAACTAACTTAACTTCTTTTCTTAATCTCTTCAAATTAGTCAACTGGATCTTATAATTAGGATCGGAGGTAGTATTAAAATATTTTTATGTGGACTAGATAAAAATCCTCCCATTTTCAAGCAGGACCCGTATCATAATTTGTTTGTAAATATAAAATTTAATTATTATGCTATTATGAGTTGAGTTGTTAAGCTTCTCTAGAATTATATTAGAAGGACATTTTGAAAATCTAACAAACAATATTCTAAGCATGTCTTGACATCTGCCATATATCATATTCAAACGTGTCCTAGATATAAGATTCTGTCAATTCTCATACTAAACACGTGTAACTGTAATAAATATAGAATATGATTACATTAATTATATATTGCATATCATAATCACAATATATAAGAAAATTGCTAGTGCCGAGAATGTGGAAGCTTTTTTTTCCCCCCCCCCCTTCTTTTTTAAGCAAAATCATCCAATATTCTAAGTATGTCTTGAATTAGAAGATTTTCATCAAAACTGAAGCTAATCCAGATTTCAGTCAAGTTGGGGTCCTTTCAAGTAGAAAACTCTATACTAATGTTGCTACGTTTCTGAATTTAAATTAAAAAAATTCTGATTAAATTGGATTAACTCTCTTATATAGCAAATTTGGATGTGAAAATTCAAATTTGAGAGTAAAAGGGAAAAAAGTGTTGCATTGTTTTGTGGTAAGAAAATACAAGATATAGCCTCTCTTGGTTATGAGGAGATGTTTTTGTGAATAGTTTAATTGCTCATTTAGCTTCTACAAAATAAAGTGCAATCTTTTTCGTACTTGGATTTTTGTTTTTGGCCACACCTTTTCAGTTCCCACCCATCGTTAAAATTTATGATTTTTAATATAATATTTATTTATTTTTACAATTTCACACATGCATTTGTGCTCAGTATAATTTGGCTCATGCCGCAAAAAATATTTATGAAAGCTTACTTTTCATATGGGAAAAAAAATTAAATAATTACACTTGTGGGGGGGAAAACACGTTAGGTGTTATTGGAAAAAAATTGAGAGAATTTATCCAGCTTTTTAGAGAAAATAAATAACACTTAAAATATAGAACCATGATAAACAATATTCTATTTTACAACAGAGATGATGAAGCCTGCAAAATGCATCAGATATATTTCACCAGGAAAAAAAAAAAACATCAGACATAATCTGATGGCATAGCAGGCGTAAAATTTAAGCGATCAGATGAGGAAGATGGGATTTCACTGAACAAGGACTTTATATTAAGAAAATTTAGAACTGGCTTAAGAAAAGGCAAAATGAAAAATAATATTTTTATGGTATTTATTGTATTTTTTTTATAAGACTGTATTTATTATTTGGGTTAATATAATCTTTAGTCCATCAAGTTTGCGCTCATTTCGGTTTTAGTCAATCAAGTTTTAAATAATAGGTTTTGGTCTTTTAATAGGTAAAATAATCTAAATTTTTATTAGATTATAAGGACTAATGTTTTAAATGAAAAGAAACTTGAGGAATCAAAACATGTTGTTTGAGACCTTGGGGACCAAAATCAAAATGTAAGTAAATTTAAAAAAGCAAAGTTTGTATTAACCCTTATTATTTTTTGATATAACATATTAACAACACTGTTCATGTGACTCGTCTCAAGTTTATTTTTATGTATGAAAATGTCTGTTTGTTCTTAATTCAATGTTTCAAGAGTTGTTAAATTGAAGTGGACCACTCTTAATTTTGAATCTCTCCATCCAATGCATATTCCATTGTGCTAATTATACACTTAAACACTTTAAATTTTATATAGATAAATACTTCAGATCGATTTAATATGTTTCTAATTTAAAACAATTATTTCTAGGAAAAAATAGTGACATTGACAATTGAAAACTACTTTTATTTTTGTGTTTTAAAATTTTTTTGAAAATAAAATCATCAAAATATAAAAACAAATATATGCCAACTTAAATTTTTCTTACTTGAAGGGCTTCTTTCTGAATCAGCATCAACTTATTAACCAAAAAATACAATAATAAAATCAACCCATCAAGTTTACCTAGCTTTGAGAGAAAATATATAACACCTGAAGTATAAAACTAAAACCAGAATAAACAATCTTCTGGTATAAAACACAAAAGATGAAGCCTGCAAGATGCATCAGATACAATCTGATGCCTTAGCAGACCTAAAATTCTCGTAAACACAAGATGAAGAATATGGGATTTGAATGATTTCAGGTGGAAGAGGGTTTGGTGGCTGTGTAGGCAGTGACTGGGTATTTCTTAGCATTCTTGACAAGTTTTGTGAGAGCGGCTTGTCCAAGATCAAGCCCACACACATCAGCAAGACGCACTAAATACAACAAAACGTCTGAAAGCTCTTCTTCCAAATGCTCTTTATCATCACTGCTCCAATTTGGTAATCCCTTCCCCACTTCTCCTTTCCACTGAAATATCTCAGATAGCTCCCCCACCTCTCCCACCTGCATCATTAATACACCATCAGAAACAAATATCCATCTCCATTTCAGTTTGAGAAAGACAAGGAAACGAGTTTAAAGAATCTGGAAGCAGAATGGATGGTTAGGTGATGATTTCATTTTCTCTGAGATCTTCTCTTTTCCGATAATTACAAACACAGTGTTTAATAAGAGCTCACAGAGGGCTTACAAGAGCTAGAAGGAGATTTCTGGGACTGTGATATTGATCCCACCCTCTCACTTCAGCAAACTCAGCAAGCCTTTTGCTCAGTTCCTGAAGGGAAACATCCCTTGATGTCTTAGGGAATCTGTGAGGGCACTCCATATATCTGATTATTACGCTTCATCCACAGGCTCATGCATGTCCAATTTATAGACAACTTGTGAGGGGGAAGGGTTGTGATAGCGGCAGATAGCGATAACAAAAGAATCGAGATGATTCTATTTTTTGTTCTTCTTTTTAATAATTTTACTTTTCTTCCTTCTATCATATTTTGTCACTAATGCATGCACTAAAGTGTTATAGTGGACGGGCACTCGAGTGTTCTTGCTGTAGGACAATGATCATGTGGGTGTGTCTCTTTCTTTTCATTCATGACTTCAGGTCACTCACTAAGACCCACCTGAAATATTTTTGGACTATTATAGACATCCACTATTGGCCCCCATTCCCCAGATTTATTTAATACTCAACTGTAGACATAAATCTCTGCAGAATCCAGGTGTGCTTTCTCTCTAGAGAATCCAATCTTATTCCTTAGCCTATTGGGATGCATCTTCCTTCCACCAAGTTAGCAGAGAAGATTTGCAAAATCTAGCCTACCCCATCCACAAGAAAGCAAGCACCTAATGGAGGGACGTCACTTTTGCAGATTAAGTATATTGATTTGAACTCTAAATCTATACGTGTAAGAATTTGACAAAATGGGTCAAGAGTTTGGTATTAATGTAACAGAGTCTGTCAGGTGAAACCATAATTTCTGTACAGAAACAATTTGACAGAATGGGTTGAAGGTTTGATTCTTCTGGCCTCCATTTCTTTCTGCGTAAAGTATGATGTGCATATGTGTGGACTTTGCAATCCAAAGAACAAATATTGGATGTGTGAAAGATAATAATAAAGCACTTCATACAACTTGAAACTTTTGGGGTTATGCTTTGCATGTTGGCATGCACCTAGATGATTGTGCTTGTACTGACAGCCTCCCTAGCCTCCCCATCCATCATTTTCTTGGAACAATCAAACTTGATACAGTTGGATGAAGGGGTGTGCAGCTATCTCCTGCTACTTTCCACAATCATAAGGAGAGCAATAAAGTAAAAAAAGCTCACATGTAACCTTTATCAAGTCCTTATAATTTCCATTCCATCTGTCTGGCTCAGACAGTTTCACAGCTGTACAACTAAGCAATAATGAGGCTTAAACCAAGTGAACTGATGTAAGAAAAAGTATTCTGAGAATGCGGCATGAAAATTAAGCTTAAGCTATCTTATGTATCTATCTCTAAATTGAATACTAACCAATTTTGAAAGGAAAACAGTGAGTTGCTTGGGCTACAGGTTTGAGGTTATGCGGCCGGGGAAACCGACAGGTATCACAGAAGGCAGAGATAAATATAGCCTTTGCTGTATTGGAAAGAAATCTTTTTTAAAAGTTAAAAAGCATATTGCTTTCTTGAAAGAAATTTCTTACATGTAAGGGAAGTTTTATACTTTTATTCATTATAATGGGAAGTTATTTTTCTGCCCGATGTAAACTGCAAAGTAGTGTTTTCTAAAGTGTTTCAAATATTATAAATCAAACAAGACGCGGAGGCCCACATTTAATTATCACTAATTGCATCGCATAATTAAGAGCAAGAATGGAGAGATAACGAAGTGTGAAAGGAGCTTTAAAGGATCTGTAATGTAAGAGGTGGGGAACAGAGAAAGGAGAAAAGTACGGAACGGCCTCTACAGAGCATGCCTTCTTGTCGGTGTTTTACCTCTCATTTATTCATCCAACCTCATCATTGTCATCATCTTACCTTTTATATTCCTTGATCTCAGAAAACACTCAAATTCAACCAGGTTCAGATTCAACAGCCTCCCGAAACATGTGTAATCTTGTTTTTTTTAACTATTTGCAATTCTGTCCTTCGGCCAACAAAAAAAAACTATTTGCAATTCTGTCTTTTGATGTTTCAGTTCGCTTCATACGCTTTAAGTTAATGAAAAATCACTCTTCTTTCTCTGGCAGGTGCGTTCATTCATACATTCTTCCAAACTTATTCTTCAATCACCTGTATTGAATACGAATATGATTATAATAATACCCTGATTGTGTTTTAACTTTACATGCAAATTTTCATAATTAGACATCCATATAAGGCCAAAGAAAATAATATCATCCCGTAAAAAGCCATGCTAGAGTCATATTATCATCCCCTATAATGGGAATCTATATGAGCTAAAGAAAGCACCTTTGATAGCTATGCCTCCTCTTTTATGTTCAGTTCATACCTTTTTATTATAACCTCTCTGGTTCAGGCCATGTTATTACTGTACCACTATATCCTGCGAAGGAAGACGACAAGTAACATATCTGACTCTTAACCTGTGAAGACAAAAACGGTAAGATGTTGATATATATTCCTGGGCTGCACAGAAAAGCCATGCGTATCAATCCCAAGATTGAAGCTAATGAAGCAAAACTAGACACTAGACACTAGGCTCTAGAGCTAAGCCAAACCCTCATTTCTCATTTATCTCGGAATTCCTACAAGTAATTCTCGGAAAACCCCACATGCTTTCATGATGATGATCGTGAGGGCTTGCTAATAATGACTAATTCATAATGATTAGCCCGCCGTCCATCCATAGCCACAATCCCCATTTAGGCTCCGGAAACAGAGGAGGGGGAGTGTGTTCTAAAATTATATAATATTATCCAGCCTTTTACACCGCCGAATCTTTTTCATCTTTGGAAATTAAGAATCATGATGAATTTCCAATTCCAAAATAGCTTTTATTGTTATTGAAATATCATCCACATGAGACAGCATAATGTGAATAAATTGACTTAGAAAATGCTGTTTTTCCACGAAATGACACTGAGATATACTAGGTCCAACCTATACCTCACTATTTTAAGGCAATATGAGATGTTACACAAGTTCACACATCAGTAACAATAACCAGCATTGTATAATTTTAAACTTAAATCTTAATACCACTCTGTATTATTGGCTGCAGAACCAGCTTGTATTTGATATAAACAAACCGTATTTAATTATCTAATGGATGCCATTTTATTCTTCTCTATAGCCTGTGTCAAGAAAATAACAATACAGCAAAGAAATAGCCAATTTACGGGAGTTTTGCTAGCTGCTAATAAATCCCTTTCCTTGATCACAGAGTAACAGCCAAGTCTTGAGCATCAAGTACAGCCCACAACATATCAGAGACACAGAACATAACTAAATCATATAGAAACAACAATAAACGACAGTAAACAGTGAATGACAATTGCACAGACGAGAAAAGAGAGGATATCAGGGTAAAGAGAGAAAATGATTCAGGCAAGAAGACGTCAAAATTCTCCACTCCCATCTCAGTATAGCAAACCACGCACGCATATATAGCTATACATTCATTAATCTCTGGACTTAAATGACTTCTCCCGTACTCTGGTACTCCTCCGCAAAGCATATTGTGCTTGGTCCATATTTCTAGCCTCGTTCACCATCTCATCAGCGTGGGACCGAATGGAATTTGGCCGCAACATATCAGGACGTTCCTTATTCTTCTCCATAATATGCATTTGGAACAGGTGCTTTTTGCCTTCAAGATGCTGCTTGAAAGCAGACATATCAATGCACCATATTTTGCATAGCTCACACCATTTTCTCTGACTAGGGATCTCTCCACCTTTTTCCTTGCTCATTTCAAACTTCTGTAGTTCAGCCCTATGCTTTTTACCCTTAAAGTGCAGATTGAGCAAGTCTTCAGTCATGCATGGAACTTTACACAGGTCACACCATTTCATTTGATTCCTTCTCCCCTCCATTCCTTTCTTCTGATGATGTTCCGAATCTTGCTCTTTTAGCTTTGACTTGTGCTTTCGACCCATCAAGTGTTGTGTTAGATTGAAGGGACTTGAGCATGACAATTCGCAGATTTTGCAGTATAACTTATCTGGGTTCTGACATTCTAGTGGCAGATCATGTGGATTGACTAGTTCTTTTCGCTTGGTACCTGAAAGGCATGGACTTGAACTTAGAAGGCTTGATAATGGCGATTGCTGGAGAGTTTGAATTGAGGATGAAGTGACCTGAAAATGCAAGAGAGCATTCAGACAAACCCTAAACGTGCAAAAAAAAAAAAAATACAATACCATAACATGATTTTCAAGTTTTAGAGCATCCCATATTTGTCTCTGAACACAAAGGAGAATCCTCAACATGCCTAGCAGTTTTACTAGATGCAAAAACATGGCTAGTCTACTAAGTTTTATACGATACTCCAAAAAAATACTATTCACAAATATCAATAATAAAATAAAATTATATTTTCAAACATTTAGAAGACCACAAAAGAGAATAAAAAATTGAATTGAACAAAGATATGACAAAGCCAGAGTGGCCAAGGTATGACAAGATAACAGGCTAAATATCAAACTGCAGAGGAAGAGGCTCGTTAATGGAGTCATTATTAATTAGAACGCAGATGATACCTTCCTCCGATATATCAGCTCCTTCTGAATTGCAATCTCCAAGGGTATTGTTCTTTGCTCCTTCTCCCCACCACCCATATCTCGACGAGAGATTCTTCTTCTTCAATTAAAATATCATTGATATGGTATAAACATGCTTAACAGAACTGTTTAGAGAATGGAAGCCAAGCTAGAATTGGAAGAGACCCCATAGAAAGTCACTAGGCAATGAGCATCTGAAGAAACCCCTTAGTTCTTCTCTTCCTCCAATAAATTGATTCCAAATATGAAGAAAAAATCAAACAGAGCCCCAACGATGTCATTTAGCAATGTCTTGCCTGAAGCAAAACTGGTTGAAGAACATGTTTGAGTGTTGAGAGAAAGGTTCCTTGACAGTATAACAAGTGTCTATGAGGATTTTGGAGGAATATCACAGGAAAATCTGTTATGACTTACGAGTACCGAATCAAAATCGGTAGCTGGTGGGGGCATTTTAGTAAATGACCAAGCGTCCTTTACCGGGGTGAAAACCGCATGACAAGCTTTCATGTATAAAATTATTCCCGGAGTGAAAAAAAAATGTAATAATAATGAAGAAGAAGAAGAAGAAAGGCTATAAAAGTCGAACAAAAACTAGAATTTCAACGAACAGTGTAAACGGTAAAAGCATCAAAATTGAGCAGCTTCTTCAACGTTAGGAATGATACAAAAAGTTCACTTTTCTGTATACGAAAGAAAAATCACCTGTGCAATAACAACAAAAGTATTTCACACTAAACTATGCCCCACAATATACACATTTTTTTTATCATATTATTTTTTCATCCCCCTTTTGGGTTCAATGTGTTAACCAGCATAGACAAAACCTCCTTCATATTGGGCCTGGCCTGCGGTGCCTCCGCCGTGCACTTTATCCCTATCCGCAACAACTCACCCATCTCCTCCGCGCCCTCTCCGAGCCCGGAGCCCATCAACAAGACCGGTATGATGGGCCGACTTAGCCCAGGACCATGCCCATATCCATAGCCCGTGACTCGTCGAGCCCACTCCAACAGGCACTCCTCCCCGCCATCAACAGCCTTCCTCCCGGTGGCTAACTCCATAGCCACCACTCCAAAGCTGTACACATCACCTTTCGTTGTCGCCTTCCATGTCTGACCATACTCAGGTGCCACGTAGCCCACCGTCCCGGCGACCATGGTGGTCACGTGACTCACTCCATTTTCTACCACTCTTGCTAGCCCGAAGTCTGTGACTTTAGCCTTCCCGTGTTTATCCAAGAGCACGTTGCTAGCCTTGACGTCTCTGTGAACAATTGGAGGGAAGCATTCATGGTGCAAATAGACCAATGCTCGAGCCACGTCAATGGCGATCTCTAGCCTTCTCTTCCACGTGAGTCTTGTTCGGTCTGTAACAACATCTTCCAAGCTTCCTCCTTCCATGTATTCGTAAACTAGGATTTTCTCCGACCCGTTTAGGCACCACCCGTATAGCGTGACTAAATTCGGGTGTGGCCACCCGAAGCCGTATCCGCTTAGAACCTCCATTTCTGCTCTGAACTCTCTTTCTCCTTCCAGCCCTTCCCTTTGAAGCTTCTTCACTGCGACTTCTATTCCGTCGGGGAATACTCCTCTGTACACGGTGCCAAAACCGCCTTTTCCTATGACTCTGTTGTCAGAGAAGTTTCCGGTGGCTTTGAGAATGTCGTCGTGCGTGAATGCTATCTTGTTCAAATGGATAACCTTAATTAGTTCAGACGACCATCGTGACGAATTGTCGGAGTTATGTTGGTTTTTTGTGTCTTCCAATAGGTATCCTTCTGGGTCGTGTGAACGGGTTTTCGCTAATGAACATAATATGAAAGAGAGGAGCCCGAATACCAATAGAGCGAGTGTGACAGCTAGAAACGCCAAGAACATTGACAGTTTCTTGGGGTTTCTGTTTCTGATTTCGTGGTCTCTGCGAGAGGTCGTGTTTTCTGTGTCGTCTGGAACGCTATCGATGAAGCTTGGTAGGGTCAAGAGTGGGTCTCCCAAATACGAATCTTTATCGAATGTGGCTAATTGTCCTGTTGGTGGGATTGTCCCAGAAATAAAGGCGTTGTAAGAAATGTTGAATTTACTGAGCTCTGTCAAGTTGTTCAAGCTTGTCGGGAATGTCCCAGAGAAATTGTTGTAGGACAAATCCAGATTCCGAAGACATTTAAGGTTTCCAATGTCCCATGGAATCTCACCTGAAAAGTTGTTTCTTGTTATGTTCAACACCACAAGTGGCAGATCTCCTATCACCGCAGGGATTTTCCCGGAAAATTTGTTCAACCCCAAGTGCAGCATGCTGAAATTTTGCATGTTCCCAATTTCTGAAGGAACTTCTCCGATGAGATTATTCCCGCTTAACTGCACATACCCAGAAATCTCCTTTAAACGAAAAAAGGAACCTGATGAGCAAATCGGGAAAATTCCATACCCTTTGAGTAATCTATCCCAAATGCTTATGCAATTTTTCCTTGTGAGGATGCTGTACACAAAGCTAAAAGGAGGGTAATCGGCAGGTATCCATCTCTTCATTGCCAAACATTCAACAGAACCGGCAGGGATTCCATTGACTTCATTTCGATTCAATTCGAACGTGGCCGTGGCGTTTCTTCCAATGTTGGTCAATTCAGGAGGGAAATTCCCAGTGAGATTATTGTTTTCAAGGTTTAGCCACAGCAGGCTTGTGCATTTTCCGAGCTCTTTTGGGATTTCTCCGGTCAATGAATTGTTCGCAAGCATTAACCATAAGAGAGAACTCAAGTTTCCCAGGCTTGGTGGGATTGGCCCTGTTAAATTGTTGAAAGAGATATCAAGTGCTTGAAGCTGAGCCAAATTTCCAAACTCAGCAGGAATAGTACCGGTGAATTGATTATAGGCCAACATTAAGAACTTCAGAGAAGTCATCCTAGAGATTTCAATAGGTAATGGACCTGAAAAACTGTTGTTACTAAGGTCTAAGCGAGAGATGTTGGGTAATTTGAGAATCCCCGATGAATTTAATCCTCCTGTGTAAGCATTTGAATACGAGAGGAGGAACTTCACTTGCTTGAGCTTCCCTAGTGTGTCTTGTATCTCCCCCCCAAAACCGTTTCCGCTCAAATCCAAGAAATTTAGAGTTGTCAAGTTTAAAAGTGTCTCTGGGATGCTTCTTGAAAATGTATTGTTGGCTAAGTACAATGCTTGGAGGCCTGAGATGGATCCCAATTCAACGGGGATATCCCCAGAAAATTTGTTACTTGAAAGATTGAGAATCGCTAGATTCTTACATTTACTGACATTCTTCGGTGCATTTCCTGTAAACCCATTGTATGAAACATCGAGTACTTCGAGGTTACAGTTTTCTGGGAATGCTTGTTCATACAGGGGACCAGTGAGATAGTTCTCTGAAACTGAAAACTCCTTCAGCCTCGCAAATCCCATCCAAATACTCCCACTGAGATTGTTGGTGCTCAAATCCAAGTACTGCAATTTTAAGCACTGATCGAAACAATGATCGATCGAACCAGTGAAGTTATTCCCAGAAACATTCAAAGTAACTAAGTTATCACAAATGGCAGGAAAATTCAATCCTATATCCCCATGAAGCCTGTTTCCCGACAAGTCCAGCGTCTCTAACCTCGTCAATCCAGTTAAATCTATCTCCCCCTCGAGAAGATTATGGGAGAGATTGAGATGTACGAGGTTACTGCATCGCCTTAGATCCGCTGGGATTTCTCCGGTGATGGTGTTCGTGGAAAGGTCAAGGTGCGTGAGCTCGGTAAGCTGCGAGAAATTCTGGAAAATCTCGCCAGCGATGCTGCTGTCGGAAAGGTCTATGCCGACCACTCTCGCCGCCGAGGTTGTCCCCGTATGGCTGCATGAAATTCCTGGCCATTCACATAGACTTGTGCTGTTCGCGTTCCAGAGTCTGTATCTTCCTCGATCTGTTCGAGTTTGATTATCCAGATGAGTTCTCAGCTCCAGCAGAATTTGTCTCTCTGTGTCCAGAATATCTTGGGCAGCGATTTTACCTGTGGGATCGACGAAAGAAAAAGAGAGAGAATCAAATTTCGCCTTGGAAAATGAAGTAGGGAATAACAGCCTACTAGACAGAATCAATAAACTTCAAAAACCCAGAATAAAATAGTAGTCAAACTGTTCAGAGAATCTAAAAGCACACTGACAAAGGACAGGGATGATATAAATATAGTATGTTGTGTCAGCGGCCATGACTATAAAGTAGTTCTGATACAGATGAAGAAAAGGATTATGATGAGAATCTGGTATCATGCCAAAACCCAGACGGAGAATTGAACCCAAAACATTAGACCTTTTTTGAGCTAGTACCTGCAGAAAAAAGGACTAAGAAACAGACGATCATGAAGCCCCGTGAGTGGGTTTCCTGCTCTGACATTTATGTCGTCTTCGAACCTTTCCTCCTCCGCTTCTGCTGGTTGCTTTTTTTCCTTTTGCAAAATTCATACACAGATGTTTTCCAGGATAAGATAATATGAACAAGAGAGGAGCTTCAAAGTGAGGAGGAGGAGGAAGGAGAAGCCACCGGATGTGCGTTGGGAGTGATCATGCTGGCAGGAAGGAAATGTAAAGCAAGAATAGAAACAGAGTGGTTCACATCCTCGTTTTCCTGTTCTCTTTTGGACTTGAAGAAGGATTATAATAAATGAATCATTAATAGATGTTGCTTAAAGCTGTTTATATTCAAGAATGTCAAATCCTAGTGATGGGTTTCTACTTTGGGTGTACTTGTTTAATGGTTTTCAAAGTGTGCGCGAGAGAGAGAGGTTCAGAAGCAAGGGAAGTGTTGAGCCGCAGTTGCTGACCGGTTTAGTGCGAGGAAACTGAAGTGGCGTGAAGTCTCAAAGGTTTGATGTTTGTGTTACTTTCGGGGAAGATTGAGTTGCAGAAGAAAGAAGAGCAGGTTGCTTAGTTTGGAACATCGGGTTTTAAAATAGATTGACAGAGAGCAGGCAGGTTTTGGGAATCCAAGGAAAAACGAACACACTTGGACGGACACGGTTTTTGAATCTGCTGAGCCGAAGTTGGACCAAAATGCTTCTGTTTTCCGTTTCTTAATTTCTTACGAAACTTCATTAATAAAGTGGTTGCCGCCTTTTACCCGCTAAGTCACGCGAGCGGGGGAACATGATTTCCTTTAAATAAATGTGGTGGATTTTTAGGTCCCTCGTTATTTAATTGTTCTTCATTACTTATATAAATCGTAAATGTTGTCACATCTTTTAATATTGATTTTAGTCTTCATAGTTGATATTATCCTAATATAAAATATTTTAATTGGACATGATAATGATCGAATTTGATGCATTAGCTATTATATTAAAAAAATATTTTAATCCACACCAGGATTTTATACATTGCTTGGTAATTTTAAAATGCATATTATTTAAAAAAATAAATTATGGTAATTTGTTTTGAACTTATTAGCATAAAGCTATACATATCAGATGGGGAAACCAGAGTTTTTGACCAAGGAAAAGGAAAAAGAAAACAAACAAACAAACAAAGAAACGAGGGAGGGAGACAAAGTTAGAATACAAAAGGGCAAAGACGAAGACCACAAACAGCTTCTTTGCCCCTTGCCCTGCGCCAAATGGATTCACACCACATGCACACATTGGTCTACCATAGTTTAGTTGGGCCCTACAATTTATTAAAATTGCAACACTTAGGGTTTGGTTAAAATTGCGGTTGGAAGTTTTATTTTGGCCTACATGAATATGTTTATAAATAATTATCATAAGTCGTTTTAAACAAGTGTTCAATTCTTCTAAAACATACTTATATACTACCTCCGGTCCTAATTATAAGAGCTAGTTAACTAATTTGAAGAGATTAAAGAAAGAAATTAAATTAGTTATTTGTAATAAATAAGTATTATGTTTTCTAAAATATCCTTGCTAATTAAGTATATTGGTTATAACTACCACTGTTAAAAGGACTATCTTGAAAAAAATACATAAATATGAGAGACAACATGGATTGAGATCTTATATTTAAGACCAAAATAAAAGTCAAACAAGATCTTATATTAAAAACCGGGGGTAATATATATTACTCGTAAAAAAAAGGCATTTACAAATTATTTATTCATAATATTTTCATGCTAACATGAGATTATAGCCCACATTTTCGTAATGCATGGGTAAAGTCCTTATATTTTATATCAAACTTTATTGATTATACACACACACACGTTATTATAATACTAGTATATAGTGTATATGTGTGTATGGATGGTGCGTTTGAGGCGATGTTTGAAGACAAGTGATGCATATGAAAGAGGACATAATTAAAACTTGCCAATCAAATTGGTTGGCTTGCTAGGGACACTATTTAGACAACAATGTTTATAAATTTTGTTTTGTACGATCCATTAAAAACAAAAGATAAAGATTAGAAATATTGTAATTTTACGTATGAATTGAAGATTTACACAACACACAATTAAAAAAGGACTGCACCTGCTCAAAAACCAAAATCCCCAAACAAATTTTAGGTACTGTGAAGCAATAAATATTTCAATGGGGATCATTCCACAATTTCTCCTTAGAACACCCAAGATCATGAAGTTTAAGGGGGGAAGAAAGAAGCGTGAGTTAAAAGGAAAGACGGTCAAAGGAAAGTGATGTGTGCGGTTGGATTCCTTGATTTCCATTTTGCATTGGTTTGTTTGAGGGGGCACAAAATGCTATCTTGGCATATAATCAATCTCTCACTTTTCCGGTGGTCCCCACAGCACACACGCACGGACGCTTCGTATTTCTCTTTCACATTCGTCACCAATTATTAATGTAATCCTTTAGTTAAGTTAATTGATTAGCGCATCTTTGAACAAACCACCCCCCATGGTTGGTCACTAACGACACACGTGCCTCCTCAGTCCTCACCCTTCTTCCTTTTGTCTTCACCCCCCCGCCCAACCAAAATTTTTTGTCTTAATCAAATTGATTATTCATGTTATTTTTTAATTATTCATTTCATTTCTCGAATGGTTTTGATCTATTTAAAAAACAATTGCTCATGTTGTTTAATTAAATATCTCAACACTCAATTGACTTGATCTTTGCTGCTTGATTAATGAAATAAAGAACAAAAAAAAAAGGATTGAGATTGACCATGTCTGGTTTGGCCCCAAAAAAAATTGAGAATGTCTTTTCAGAGTTACATTATAAAGTTTTTTTCATAAATCATTAATAGCCAAGAGCATCAAGACTCCTGTTAGATTTCTTGCAAGTATGATTTTCGTCCGAACAGCCAAACAAATTTTGAAATGAATTGTGCGTATTTTTCAATTTAAAATTTTCAAAATTAATTTTTTGAAAACAGAAAAAGTCGGCCAAATCACTCTTGACGTTACATTTGTTTGTCTCTCCAATTGTTTTTCTCTGTACGGCACCATTTTTATTTCTATGATGTGTATATATAATTGAAAATCAATTATCATAACTTTAAAATGTTTATTGTATATCAAATACAATGCGACATTATGAATTAAGTATAAAAAATTCAACTTTTTTTTTTTAAAAAAAAGAGGAATAAAGTAAAACATAGACTCGGGGTGTTTGGTATCCAAAGAAGCATTTTTAAGTACTTTCACGTGATTTGAAATAAAAAAAATTTTTATATGCTTACTTCATATATTATAAAATTACTTTTAAAATTATAATTTTGTTTTCACCCAAACACTCCATTAGTTTTTTTTTTAAATTAAATCAAGCAGTTTCGTATACCTTCTTATAAGAACAAATAAAAAAAGGAGAATTATAATGAGATTCCAAAAAAATAAAATAATTACTAAAAAGTTTTATTCATAACATAAGCAGCTTGTAATGATAAGTTCTTAAATAAGAAATAACAATTTCTTAAACTTACTTTGTAATTATTTTTCTTTCTTATAATCTCATTTTAATTCTTCCAATAAAAAACGTGAGGATGATCAAAAGGTAAGTGACCTATTTATTATTTCTTCAACTCTAAATATAAGATCTTTATACATACTAATATAAGAGTTTTTATATTTAGAACTGAAGGAGTATTATGTACCGTCGATTTTTCTTAAATATCCCTTTTTTTGAAAGTCAAAGTAATAGGGTGAGGTTCGCCTGAAGTCTATGATTTATTAATGTATGGTTGAGATGTCCACATCTACAACTCTAGACTGTTGATTTGTTCTTATCGTTCACACACGCACATATAAATAAATATTCACATAACAATATTTACATGGAACCAGAAATCAATACATACACGTTTTAATATTGTTCTAAATTAAATGGAAGCTATTCAAAAGATAATGAGGTCACGTATTTGAATTATACACATATATATATAGTCACACTTGGAAAATTTTTTGCATTTCTACGCCGCGACGAGTTTTCGTTATCCTCAAGCCATCAATAAATCAAATCATAAAAGATACAAAATTAATGAAGTTTTAAATTTTAAAAAGGAGTAAAATTGAAAAAATATAATTAGCACGATGACCTATAATAATGCTCATTTATCTTTTTTTTTAAAGGTGTCTTATAATAAGAATACAAGGAAGTAATATATATCTTCAGTTACTTTGAAGTAGAGGAATCAAACACTAAGCCATATAATTTTAATTCAACATTTCAGTAGTTTGAATTGATTTATTTTTTTTTTGTTTTCATACCATTAACTGATTTAACTCTATCTTCTGAGCCAATGGTATATAATTACTTTACTTCTAACTCAGATGACCTTTTCAAAGATATATTATAGTTATACAATTCATTCTCACCGCATATACTGACGTACATCACACAACTATGAAAACATCGTAATTTAATCTAATCTAATTCATCCATTATTTCACGTCACTATAACCTTTAATATAAAATATATATCTACATTAACAACTTCAACATTATAATATTCCACTGCCTGCCCTTGGTGAACTCTTAAAAGTCAGATATATAGATGCCTTTTGCATACTCAGTGAATCCACCAACTGAAATAACAATCCAACCAAATATTTTCCTTTTTATCTTGCCTTTTTTAATTAAGTTTTTGTTTGAGTTGAGTGTATCCAGAGATAATCAAAGATTAGGATGGACTTGATAGCTCAAAAAGTACTTATCAACGCATTTATAAATTACCAATTACTACCTTAGTTCTTACTATAAAAATTAAATAATTAATTTGAAAAATTAAAAATGGGTTAATTTGAAATAAATATGTATTGACTTTTTTACACCATTCTACTACCTAATCATGATATGTTGAAACTATCCAAAAACTCCTTACAATTAATAAAGATATTTGAGAAAAAAACATCATAAATTTAAAAAATAAAATAGATTAAGATTTTATATTTATAATCAAATCTAATTTTTAATTTGTTCTTATAGTAAACTGGATCGTAATATATATACAAGGCACACGTTGTGTCTTTATCAATTAACCTGATCGATACTAACCGGCAACATTTGGCTTTTATTTATTTTTAATTCAGTGTGATAAAAAAGTTTTAATCTTCAAATCCAACACGTGTGCGTGATCCATTGATGAGTTAAGGGGAAGGCAGGCCAACGATTATGTGCCTAACCCAACTTTCAAGTGTAGCACTAGCACCAAACCCAACCATGACATCTTAAGTTGTGGGCCATCCCAGGTCCGCATATATTCCTGCAATTAGTTAATTCTTTTTCGGTTAACTAATAAAAATTATTGCTAAAAATCCGAGCTTTAAAAATTTTGGATTCTTTTTCCAACTTTGTACATTTTATTATGGCTAAATTATGCGAAATTTTCTGAATTTTATGTGGTGTGTAAATAATTGTTTTTTTTGGTCAAGTGTAAATAATTTGTATGATCGTTGAAACTCTGCAATAAATATCTATGAACTTCTACGTGTATGCAGAAATGCGTGTGCAGCTCAAGGGTTTATATGAATACAAAAATAAAATTTAAGAAGATACTCCTCTGGTCCTATTTATAAGGCAGGGAGAGACGACATTTTTTTTATCCTATTTATAGGGCATTGAGAAATTTTTTTTATATAGATGTACATAATGTATATTAAATAGGGATAAAATTAAAAAATTATTAAATTTTAAATAAAAGTTAATAAAGTTTAAAATTTTTATTAGTATGTATGAAACATACTGAAAGTGCTTTATAAATAGGACTAGAGAAAAATATAAGTTAAAAATTTGGAGGTTATCTATATATGAAAGAAATTTATTCTACGAAGCTAGATAAAGATTATAAACAATCACCACAAACGTAATGGATATGAGTACGGCTTCGTTATGGTCAGATATGGTCAGATATAGAAAAGTCTGTGATAAATGAGCATGGATCTATTTTACTTTGCCTCGCCATTTTTTATTGGGTTTGGCACTTTTAATGCCCGCCCTCTTTTTGTCGTGTCACAATCTCTTAATTGTTTTTTTTTCATTTTTTTAAGGATTATTAGTTTTTACCTAAAATGAGTTTTGATATTTTATGATAACAAAATGACACATTTTTACATTCTATACGTTTTTCAAAAAATACCGAAAATGCATAATTTTACACTTTTTGAAAAATCATATAAATTATAAACTGTATCGTTTCAGTATCACTATCATAAGACATGAAAATGTTTCTTATTTTATGTAGAATAAAATAAAAAAAAACAGAAAATTAAGACATTGTAAAAAAGTAGGATGTTAGAGATCCAAACTTTTGAGCTCTGTCGCTTGGCTGGTTAGAAAGGGCGCCCAAGGTGCGCGCCAGCCTCCAGGTCTCGGTTTTGACATCTCACACCATCTCGACTTAGAGGCAACTCCGGATTAGTCGGTCTCCTTTGGAGGGTCAGATACCGGAGGCCTTACACACAAAAAAAAGAGATCCAAACTTTTCTTTATTGGAGAAATGGGGACCAAAGACCACCAGGGCATGGAAGCACTTTTTGAGTGAGTTGCTTGAAACACCATTTTCCCCCCCTTAGCTCATCAAAGCACTTAACAAAAAGATTCCCCCAACAACACAGAAGCATGCAAATGCAATCCTCCACATATTTACATAATGGTAGTAAAGAAGGCTCCACACTTCAGAACCTGCCTTAAAGGACCAACATTGGATTTGCTTTGGTACCCAATTGAGCCAATTCCAATTTTGACCTACTTTCAACCGTCCTCTCCACCCCCTTTATGACCCCACTTTTATAACCCTCTCAAAGAAAGAGATTGCTCTATGTTGGCTGAGTTTTCAAGTCTTCAGTCCATGATTAAAGCACAAAGCATGGTACTTTATAAATGCTGAATTATACACAATTTTTAATTTTTAGTCATCAACAAAATAATTTATTTTAACTACTACCTCCGGTCCTTAATATAGGAATTAGTTTGATTTTTAATTTAGTTATAAATATAAGACTCAGATCTACTTTGTCTATCATATTTATCTATTTTTTTTAAAGCAGTTTTTGTAGTAGTTGTACATATTAAATGTTTTATCAAATGGTAGTTCTAACTAATACATATGTTTAGCAAAGTATTTTAGGAAAGATAATACCTATTTAGTATAAATAACTAACTTAATTAATTTTTTTAATTTTCTTTAATTAATCAACTAATTTTTATAAGTACGTGCAATTTCTAATTGCGTGGCAAATATGACTGGCAAATTCAAGTGTTACGTTTTAGGGGACAAAAGAAGGCAACGAAAAGCATTTTCACACAGCTAAAGCCTATCACAGGTTTTCAACAAGTCTGCAGCCCATTGGGCCATTGGGCTATAATTGATAAATCCTCAAAGAAAAACCCAAATCCTCAGCATCAGCCCCTCGGTACAGAATTCCAACACAATTCATCATCCATTATAGGCTTATAGCTCATGGATCAACCTGATATTTAAACAAAAAAAAAAAAAAAAACAAGAATAGCAGTGTTCTTCATAATTTACAACAACATAGTCTACACCCCTAATCCTCCTGCCTGCCGGATGGACACAGGCAAGAATGTAAATACATGCCATCATATTACTTACCAACCGACACACTAATCCTGGATTCAGTGCATATCAGAGGGACCTCTGAAACTTCAAATTGAGAACTTTATTCAACGGCTCACATATTTGGTATACTATAATATTACTTCCGGTTCTAATTATAAAACCTCGTTTGTAGTCTACAAACAAGATATTATAATTAGGACCGGAGGTAGTGTTATTGAACACCGACCAACTTGCTAATCCAAGATTTGGCGCATATTAAAAAGATATCTATAACTTCAAATTGAGAATCTTGCTCAACGGCTCATATACTTGAGGTGTTGCTCCAGAAGAAGAAGGACTAAATTGTGCGGGTGTGGATTCCTCTTCAAGTGCTGCCATAGCAGCCTTCCTTCTTTGCTGCTTATCACGATGTCTTTTCAGTTTTTGCTCTAAATCTGCTTTAGCTTTCTCTGCCAACTCAGCTCTGCTAAGAGCTTGTTCTGCACGAGCCCTGAGCTCCCCAATCTTTGCTGTTGCTGCTTCCAACTCTGTTTTCAACATTGCTGTTTCTGACAGGCTTCCACCTTCTGTCATTGATGCTTTAGCTTCATTTGCCTGTTCAACCTTCCTGATTAAGGACTCATATTCCTTCAATGGGATTGTGATATCATCAGTATTTTTCTCCTTGATCTTGTTCATTGCACCTGTGAGTGATTCAGCTTTCAGGCCATTTTCTTCTTTCTTTGCATTCACTAGTTCTTGTTTCAGCTTATTCAATTCAGTTTCCAGTGCTTCAACGTGTACAGTTTCGTCCATACTCTTTCTTTCCGTTTGTCCCTTGTCATTGTGATTCTCTCTTTGCTTCTCAACCTTGAGCTCCTCCAGTTGCTGTAAAATTTGTTGTTTCTCCTCCTTTTCAATGTTGAAGGCAATTTCCATCTCTTCTATTTTGGTCTGTGCCTTGAGCTCTGAATCTTTAGCAGCAAGAAGTTCGACTTCTTTGTTCAGCAGCATTCCCTCTCTGGTCTTCAATTCACTCAACAACCGTGAAATCTGCTCTCTGAACCTCGGATTCCCCAACTGATCATCTACCTCTTTCATCATGGATTCAAGCTCACCAATGCCAAACCCTCTGTCATTCCCTTCATTCATGTGCTTTTTTCTTTGGGAATCAAACTTCTTCAGCAGGCTGAACAACTCAGAGTTTAGCCTCTGATAATGTTCCCCCTTACGAAGTGCCTGCATATAAGCAGCATGTTTTGCTTCCAACTGTAACTTACAGCTCGCCGAGTCCTTCTTCAAGTCCTCAACCTCTTTTTCATACTCACGCTGGAGAACATGTATGGAAAGCAAAAACGATCACAGGAAAGCAATGGCTTTAGACATGTAATCTCTCCATTCAAGGAGGCCAAGACGAAAAAAACATCCAATTGATCACATGCTAGAAAGCATGAAGTAAAACTGAAAAAGAAATTCTATTTCCAACATCTGGCAATGACCCAGTTTTTATGAATTCATAAGTGGCCATTCGTATGCTCAATGTTTGTGGAAATCAGAACCAAGAGTTTCTCATCAATTCACAACTAGCATGTACTTTGAAGAATTGCTTTAGACTTTAAAGTGAATCCCAGGATAATTCAACCTCAAGAGCATGGATTGCTAATTCATGACACAACATTATTTAACCAGAAAAAAACTCTCAAGGTCTCTACTCCTCGGTTATCTTACCTTACTCCTCCGATGTTGATGTTTCTTCTGATGATCTTGTTCTCCAGACAAGGATATGCCACTCCAAACTGATTCAGATGCTGTTGTATGAGTCCCATCCATAGTTCTGTCCAATAAAAACCCCTAAAATCGGCGGCAAACAACCTGTCACATGGAAATCACCAAAAAATGATATCAGAGTCCGAATCCAGTTCGGGCATAATCACACTGAAGCAGTAATGTGCTTTCGCAGACAGGAGACATAAACGAAAGGCAAGTTTTTAACATGTAAGAAACAAAATGGTTCTAATTCCAAACCGTGTTCATTGATAACTGAAGCAGATTTTATATATAAAATATCAGTATGAACAAGATCGGAAAGATGCCTGTACTGAGAGGAAGAAGCAGAGAAAGTGGGATTGTAGAATATTTTGAAGACAAAGGAAGAAAGATGGCGTGAAAAATCATAGCGAAGGAAAGTAATGGGCATTAAGGAGGTGGTTTGAAGTGATTGCCTTCTTAGATATTAACGAGCATACGAAATTTGTCAGGTCGCTTGTGGATTGCTGCTATATAATCTCATTATATTCGCTTCTTCCTCGATGGGGTCGACGAAATTGGTTGAAAATCATATTCCCTCCTCTTTCTCATTTCTTTTTTTTTTTTCCTTTTTTAATATCATGTTATAGTTAAAAAAAAGGATTAAAAGGAGATAGATCATTTTTTATAGTCTTCGTATTCTATATATACGAGCTAATTAATATGTTTATTTTGATGTTAAAGATAAAACGTCAGTTACTCTGTCTCTCCCTCTCTCAATTCATAATGGTTAATGAAATATTTTAAAAAATTAATATACATATATTATAGATAATTAATTCAACTAATTTTTTTAAAACTCATAAATTAATTATTTAATTTTTATATTTAAAAACATAGAGGATCATATTGTTTGTGTTGCTGAATTCGTTAACAATTGAAATCAAATATTTGGACGCAAAATTCAAGTGAATACAACAAACGGATGAGTTGGCAATCCTCAAGTTCCTTTCTTATCTTTGGAAATATAGGACACTCGATAATAACACAAGTCATTTTTTATGGGGGAAAATTCCCCATGAGGCAGCGTGCTCTAAGCTCAGTCCTTGTAAAAAAAAAATTTCTACTAAATATAAGTGCTTCTCTTAGTAAGAATTTAAATATTAATTTATCACGTTATGAGAAATTAATTCCTTCCATTAGACTTAATCTTATTAGATTATTTGCAACTTCTACTTTTGAAACAGAAAAAAAGTCGGGTGAGGCAGATCAAGCATCATATTCATACAAACTTTTATTTCTTTTCCTTTTTTATAAAGGCAATCAATACATATGTTTTAAGATTTATTATACTTTTTTAAAATGTTTCATAATAATATATGTCATAGGCCAATATAGTTAAACCAAAAAAGTGTGTCTTCAATGAAATTTTTATGGTACTATATTGGTAGTTTTTTTAATTGGTGATTATTTAACACTAATAATCTGTTGCAATGTGTTTGAGAGCTTATTTAGAATCACTTTTAATTATAAGCATGTTTTATATAAATAAATAAAAAAAATTTCTCACATACTTATTTTTGTATTTCACAAATTATAATTGAAAAGCTGCTTTAAATTATTCCAAATGGCCCTTAGTATGTTGTTAGAAATTTATACTCATTTTCTATTGATTTATATTTATGAGATACTCTTCCGGTCTTCAATATAAGACTCTTTTTATAATATAATTTATATTATAAAAAAATATTACATTTAAAACCGAAAGAGTATTATATGTGCGCGCACGCAGTCCTCCTGTCTTCTGACAGAAGACGCCTAAATTAATTTGGGGATCAAGCTTGAAAACATCAGTAAAAATTGGGCCGTTGGGCCCATAAGTTTCGTTGGAATCGGGCTTTGCATTTTGTATTTTGGACTCCAGAGTACAGATTAGAGCCTGGCCCATAATCAATCATTGGGCTCTTTAATTTCGGCCCAGTTCTACCCTTGTGCTTAAGTTTTCCCCCTCTTCTGTTTGTTCAGATCTCAGACCCATCATTGTATCAAAAAAACAAAACTCAGAACTATCAAGCTAGGCGGATAGACTTACTGATCGATGGTTCAGACTAACGTTCAGTCAACTTATTAGCTTAAAAGCAGATTTTTTTTTATTTGAAAAAAGTGAAAAAAATGATATTGCGCTCATATAAAATAGAAAGAATTAAAATGACTCTCTGAGAAGGAAAAATAATTACAAAATAAGTATCAGAAATTGCTATTTTTATTCTGAAACTTATCATTACAAGCTGTTTAGGTTATTATTAGAATTTTTTAGTAATTATTTTTCTTCATTAGGATCTCATTATAATTCTCCTTATAAAATCAACAAAAGCCAGAACAGATACAAAAAAAGATGATCTGAAAAATATAATAGATCAATCTTAAAAAATTGTTAAATCTCCTACCCAACATTATTATATAGTACCTCAACTTCTTAATATAGAAGCTAATTAATTAATTTGAGTAGGTTAAAAAAGTTTGTTAAGTTACTTATTTATAATAAATAGTTGTTATTTTTCTTAAAATATCCTTACTAATCATGTGTATTAGCTAAAATTACTATTTAATAGAACTTTTAACATGTGTAACAGCTATAAGACTATTTTAAATATATATATATATATGAGAGATAAAATGTATTAAGTTCTTATATTTAGGAGAAAACTGAATATCAAAGTTAACTTTTATGTTAAAAACTTCAAATAGCACCTAATAGCATAAATCATATGCTTTTTTCTAGTTTGCATAAAAATATGCAGTCATACATAATCCATCAACTTTTATTTTCTCGATTCATACACTCGGGAAAGTGCCTCTTAATTTATTTTCGTCCATCTATCTGCACAAAATTGATTCAGTCATCACTTACGCAATCCAAAATTAACTTGCATGAGGTCGCCTTATTCTGAAAAACCATCTACCCCTTAAATTCTAATCCCTCCTTCTCCTTGGACTGACTTAAAATAGCTTTTGTTGCGTATAGTTCTACTCCTTAAATTCTAATCTATCCTTTTCATTGGACTGACTTAAAGTAGCTTTTGTTGCGTATAGTTATTTCCCCCCCCTTGGAGATCTAAATTATCTAATCCATCATGATTTTGTTTATATTAGAACAAATAACATTTACGTCCGCTACAAAAATAACATTCACCATATTTCTTATATCCTAATTTTAATGTGATGTAGTGGATTGGTTGTTAAAAAAAAGGAGTCACCACTTTTAATAATTCATGAATAATATAATTTATTAAGGTTGAAGGAAGGTACACGATGCTTTGTCAAAGGGGATGGGGTGTCATTGAAGGCTTGATGTAAGTTTATACCTCTAGCGTTAAAGCGTGATCATTGAAGTATCGCCCACATCTCTAACTAAATTGTCATCATAATAGAGACTCATATTTGGTTTACAAGTCAAGCTAACTGGCCAACCACATCCTTAAGTTAACCAGCCTACATATATATTGATATATTATGTGATTAAGCTAATTTTATGATCATATATATTGATATATTGTTTTATTATTCAGAGTTTAAATATTTTTTGGGATCACTGTAAAGGACTTGATGAGATTTTCTCCGTATCTCGCTGATGCCATTTCAAGCATGGTCTGAAACAATCCAAATATCCACGAATGCTCAAACAGGACTACCATTCTCTAAATAGGTTCAAGGCTTTGCCCATTCCTTACTTGCGTATTTTTCACCTTAATTATAATCATAATTCTTATATGTCAAGATCCCCCACATATTTTTATTGACTTAATTAATTATTGAATTATTGATTTTCCTATTGGACTTGGACAGTATTTCCCGATATTATATTGCCTCGTTGGCCGGGTTACTCAATGCGCGGAGCATGCTTATAGAATTGTCCAAGAGGAAATACTTAGTTTAACACAAACTTTGATATTACTTCCCACCAACAACATCCATTCAAAAACATAAAAGCTCTAAGATTAATTAATTTGTGAGAATTGTTTTGACGTGATTTGTGGACAACTGGTGGTAGGGTAGTAATTTTCCAATGTCCACATCAGTTTCTTTAACCTTTTTAGAAGAAATTACTTGTATATCGCAACGAGTCTATATATTCAGGATATTGACAACAAATATAATTAAAATATTGCATGGCCATGCTTAATGGTTATAGCATCACAATCAAGATAAAGTGTTAATTACAAAGATAATTAAAACCAATATCTCTAGAATAGGAAGTTGGAGTTGAAAAGATGGCTTTAATAAAGTGGAGATATGTAGGAAGAGAAAGTAGGAAGGAGGAGGACAGAAAATGGAGAAGGCTCTTACAACAGCGGGGAGCTTTTGGATCTCCAGGAAAGCCAAGCAAGAATTTTCCAATATCTCCCACGACATTTCTGTACGTTCCTCTCTCACTCTCTCTTTCTGAAAATCTGCATAATTTTTAGGCTCCCTTATGTTCTGGATCTTCTGTTTGCTTCTGAAATGCCAACATCATTACTGTCTCAGAATCATCCATCATAAATCTGGCTTTCTTGAACCTTCATTTAACTAACATGTATTTCCTCTCCATAGCATGACAAGCATTATCTCTTCTGAACGGGACTTGCTTGTTCTTCTTTCTTGCACTGATCACTGATATGCAGTTTCAACCTTATGGTGATGATTTGTTCCTGTTTCTCTTACTGTCGTTCTGAAATATCATGTGGTTGTAATTTCAGTCTCTCTCAAATTCTGTTGAAGACAAAGCAAAATGTTTACTCAACAAACTCAAAGGTATCTCTCTACCTTTAACTTTCACAACATTTCTAACGTCATAGTTTCAGTAGGAGTATTTTAAAACAACGTTCGGTATGTGTAAAGCTGTTTTTAAAAAGAAACTGGAAAATTGCGTTGCCCTACGAAACATTTTACATATTTGACTGCTGCTTCATGTTCCTGCTGCTTTAATTGATTAAAGAGGTATATTCCGGGCCTCAACGAGACATACAAGGCTAGAAGTGGGAAAGAAAAGAAGACAACATATAGCTAAACTGAAAAGTAATTATGGCAGATATATATGCCAAACCATTCAAATCACTTATCCCAATATATAGGACAAAATTAGCCATATGATTATGAAAGATTCACATGGGATGAAACACTAAACTGAGCCATTTTTTGCGGGGTAAATGAAATGAAAGGCAAATCAAAGAAGGAGATAGGAGATTCTGAGAGAGAACAATATACCAGGAGGAGTGTTTCCCAGCAACATAAAGTGTTACGAGTACGAGGAATCAAAGGGGAAGCTGACAGTGCATCTTCCCTATCCATGTGAGGTGTGTTTCAAGGACTCATCCCTTCTCAGGTACTCCACACGTGTGAAGGCCACCTTGTCGAGGGGCAAACTCACCGTTCTGGAGGGCATGAAGACGAAGCGTCTGGTTTGGGTGAAGGTGTCAAGTGTGAGCGTTGAAAGCTACAAGTCTGACAAAGTTTGCTTCACAGCTTCTGGTGTGAAGATAAGCAGACCCAGAGACGCCTATGACTTGCCTCGTCCAGCCATTCAAGTCCATGACTTTTGACTCCCTTTCAATAATAGTCTCACTCTAATCTCTCTGTTTCCTTTCAATCTTGTCCCTATTACCATATTAATAACCTGCCTAGCATGATCTCTTCGAACTTAACTTATTAGTATTTGCTGATGCCATATATCGTGGGAGGTTTGATGTTGGTTTTTACATTTTTCTGCACTGTTATGCTTAGACAGGAATTTGGTTAGTCCTTTTCAGCTCTTAACTACAATATGTGAGTCCTATTTGAGGATGTTTCTTTTTCTATTACCTTTCTTATGCATGTATATAAAGCCGAATCCATCCGATTTTTTAAACAGAGGGTTGGTAATCCTTAACCTTTAGAGGAATCCTCCATCAGTGACTGTAAATTAAATGACCACTTTTTCTCAATCAGTGGGTGGTTCGAGCATGAATCAAACTCTATTGAAATGTTTTGGTTGGCAATAAAATCAACATCATAATAATGATTTTGTTGTCTTCAGATATGGGCAATGATACCAGCATTAACATTTCATTCATTCTTATCTTTTTATCAGCAAGTCTGTATAATGGTGTGTTTCACCTTTGTGCATTTCAGAATGATGAATCCTACAATATTTTTTTCTATATCATTTCTCTTTTTTACTTGAGATATGATGCTAACTACTATTTCTGGTCATAAATATAAGAGTTAATTAGAGATTTAATTTAGTGTAAAATATAAAATCCCATCTCATTTTGTTTTCTATATTTATTTATTTTGCTCTAAAGTAATCCCTGTGATAAATGCACATATTGAAGGGTTTTCATTCTAATACACTTGATTAATAAAGTTATTTTAATGAAGACAACGATATTTATTATAAATAAATAATTTAATTAATTTTTCTAATGTTTGTAAGTTAATTTCTAGCTTTATATTAAGAATTATCAATTTCAATTGCCAAGCTCCTACAGCTATTATGAGATTCAAAAATCAACTTGAATAGCTAGTTAATTTCATCATCAATGTTAATTTTGATATATATATATATGTCGAATTCCCATTCTCTAAGCCAAAGGAAGACCATCTCATCTCTAAAACCCCACAGCTTAGTTTTCAGATTAGCTACAGCACAATATATATCCCTACAAGTAAGCCCAATCCTTTTTATGATTAATAGGCACAATAAACATTAAGATAAAATTTTATATGACCTAATTTGAGGGTTGATATTGAATCTATATATAAGATTTATTTCATATATTTATTAATTTTTTAAATTAACTTTATTAATATTCTTCTAATAATAGTCAACCAGGAGAGGAAGGGGGCAATTAAAGAAAATATTTGGGGTATTTTAAAAAAACATATCATATTTACTAATTTAACTAACATTCTTAATTTACATAAATTAGTTAATTGCATTTTACATTAAGGACCAAGAAGAGTACAATGAAACACTTACCCTTTTTATGATTAATAGGCACAATAAACATTAACTCAACACAACAAGTGGCTTATATTTAGGAATAAATTTTTTTCTTACAAATAATTTATATATAGGAATGATATGTAATTTATCATATATTTTAGTACTTCATTACCTTCATTAATCTACTGTTAAACGCAATTAATCAAACGAGCAATTAGATTCCTGAAGATAGGGCCAGAGCCAGCCGCTCAGCCAGGACCACGGAATATTTATGACAGAGGTCCGTAGTCCTTTTAGGCCCGAGCAGCGGCGTAATCAAGCGGTAGCTTTGCTTTGACGCTGTATCGTGTAAAAGGAATCCAATGGTCAGCGCACCGGTGAATCCTACGGTCAGAATGACTCTGGTCCCACTGCGAAGATATTCTCTGCCCAACTGGAAACCCTAGTTGGGTTTAGGATATCTCTCAAAGGCACCCCAATCTTACATGTATATATATCTTTGTCCGCCTCTTCCTCGTCCTCTCCGTCCCTCGGGCTCTGCAATTCTGCTTCCCCTTTGTGAGTCGGTCGAGTCTGATACGGTGCGTTTTGCTTAGGGCAACGAATCCCACCATGTCGGACGAGGAACACCACTTTGAGTCCAAGGCCGATGCCGGAGCCTCCAAGACTTATCCTCAACAAGCCGGCACCATCCGTAAGAACGGCTACATCGTCATCAAGAACCGCCCTTGCAAGGTGTCTCTCTTTTACATCGATTCATTTTCCCTTTTGCCCCCTCGCTTTGTTGCCCGTGAAATCCTTCGTGGAATGATTGAGGCATTGTGGAAATTGAAAGTTGACTTTGCTGGGTTGATTTTGATGCGTGCTTGATTTGACTTATGGTCGTCTAACTATTCACAAATCTAGTCCTGATTAATGGGATGGTTTGTTTAATTGTTTTACCCTTATTTATCTTATTCTGTTGTTTCCGGAAGTTGGAGGTGCGACTTTTATGATTTATTGACTTTGGCGCGGTTTATGTATGATTTATGGGTTTTAATTTCTTTAATCACTTCATCTAAATGTTGATTGACTTAACCCTTATAGACGCTGTTGTGAAGTTTTGTTTTACTTATGCGTTTCCTTGTTGCAGGTTGTTGAAGTGTCGACCTCCAAGACCGGTAAGCACGGTCATGCTAAGTGCCACTTTGTTGCAATTGATATCTTCACTGCTAAGAAGCTTGAAGATATTGTGCCCTCTTCCCACAACTGTGATGTACGAGCTTAATTTCAATTTTCAATATTTTGATCTCTTTTTAACAGTCTTCCCTAAAGGTGTCTCTGAACCGCAATTTTTCTTTTCAGGTTCCCCATGTGAATCGTACTGATTATCAACTAATTGATATTTCTGAGGATGGATTTGTGAGTTCCTTTATCTAAGGATACCCTTTGTTCATAAATTCATTTTGCTTCCATATTCTGAATGGATGTTTGCTACTGAATAATGTCATAGGTGAGTCTGCTTACCGAAAATGGAAATACCAAGGATGACTTGAGGCTTCCTACCGATGAAAATCTGCTTAATCAGGTTTGTTTCCGGCTCTGTTGCATGTTAGCATATACTATAAAAGAACTTTGAGCATTTTTTCGATTTATTAATTTAAAAATACATACATTTGATATTATTTTTGACCAAGCAACAAGTAAAATTTAAAGCTTCATTATTTGCTGTAACCGAAGATATTACAATGCCTTTTCTGTAGTCGAGTTGTTGGGAAACCCTTTAGTTTCATCATTGGTTTGTGTTGTTTTCTCTAATTGGTTATCCACTCACTTTCCTCTGCAGATAAAGGAAGGATTTGCTGAGGGAAAGGACCTTGTTGTTTCTGTCATGTCGGCTATGGGGGAGGAGCAGATTTGCGCCTTAAAGGATATTGGGCCAAAGTAGTTGCTTCCATTGTATGCTGGTCGTTTGTTATCATTTATTTAATCTCAGATATTTTTGTAAGCTTTTTTAGTCTTCTCGGCGGATGGTTTCTGATGGTTTTATGAATGTGTTCAGATAAACTATGGGTCACTTTTTATGGTTTGTCCAGAAATTTTCATGAGAAATAGGAGCCCATTATTTAACTTTCCAATTCATGAGAGAGCAGTAAGATTTTGATAAAATTTATGGCTTGGGTTGCGTCGAGGATAAATATTGGTTTATCGTTGCCCATCACGGATAAAACATGGATGCATCGTCTTTAGTTGTTGAGTTTTGACTTCCATTGCTTTGGAAGTGCTCTTCGCTTCTGATAAAAGACACAATCCTCATGAGGCGTGGCGGCCTGACTATTAAAGGTTTGATTTTGGGCAAGTAAATCAACCATGGGTCTTTATTCCTTCAGTGATCTACCTACAGTTTTGTTTGAGAAGGTTAATACACAGTTATTATAATTAATTAATTAAACTAATTTTTTTAATATTCTTAAATTAGTTATTTATAGTACTAAAATACTAAATGCCGTGAATAAAGAATTCGTGGTGAAGCTGGAAAATCGCCATGAAGCAAAGAAAGCAGTTCCAGAAGTTTGAGTGGACTCCGCAAGGAACTTTTTGTATCTATTTTGAAGAATTATTTGGAGTGGTGGGATCTCTGCTCAGGAACGATGCAATTAAAGTGAGTTGGGTGGTTGTTTTGTGGAGTAAACAAATGCAATCTTGTGGAATTCAGAGTTCTGAATACAAACGAGCATCTCAAAGCAATGGTAGTTGTGAATATATATGCCTCCCCTTAAAACAAAACATAAGTGAAGTATCTCGAAACAGTTCCAATAGTTTTCAGCTAAATATTCCCATTGAACTTTTTGTTGTCAACATTATTCCAATTAAACACGGGGAAGGCCAACCTTTATCCCTGAGAATTAGCCTAATACTGCTACAATTTAAGTCTTTTAACTTCTGGTGAGAATGGCAATCATTAAAAAAATAAAAATTTCAAAAATTAATTTTGTTCAAGAATATGGGAACAACTGAAAAAGTATCATCAGGGGTATCTAAAATTATCATATATATTCCTTAAAAAATAGTTGCTAATTAATCTTATATATCAGGTAAAAATTAAATTCTAAAGCTTATCATAACTTCCAGAAAAACTGATTTTAACATCAAGAAAGTAAAACGGTAATATTGAAGTATTCATTACAATTTTTTTAAATTATAAAAATATATTATTTTAAATTTTTTTATTTGTAATTATGACAGATTATAAATTCTGAACCATACTTTTCTCAAATTCATCTTTCCCCACCCTTTTTTTTTTAATCTTTTTTAGTTTTTTATGATTCACCCTTTATTTTTATTTTTTTTTACCAGCCCTCTTCATTCTTTTATCCGTTTTCATTCGTGCCTGGTACCCCTCGAATAAAGAAATGTCAAATTCCTTTGCTTTTCTCTCTCTTTACTTGTTTTCAAAGCAAAGCAATCGGTGAGTCCTTCGAACGAAAGAGAGGAGGGATGAGTTCGTCGCCACATCGCTCTCGCGGAGGAGGCGGCGGCGGCGGCGGCGATGATAGGCCCAGGTTCTTCGACTCAAAGGCCAAGAGCCTCTGCTGGGCAAAGGCTGATATTGTGCCCGGCCGTCATCCCGAGAGGTGGCGCAAAGACGCCGCCGGCAACATTGTTTGCAAGCGCTTCGGCAACTGTCACGGCTGCCTCTGCTTCGAGTACGATCACATCCTTCCCTTTTCCAAAGGTTCCCCCCTTCCCTTTTCAACATTATTATCTACGCCCTCACTTCGAGTTTTAAGCCATTAATTTTTCTCTACTTGCCAGTTCCATTTATTCTGGGTTTTTGTTTTTGGATGTTTTCTAATTTTCAAGTAGAAATGTAGCCTCTTAAAGACCATCTGGTATATAATTTTGATTGGTCTTAGGATTGCGGAAAAGCTGAAGCAGCCGCATTCGCGGGATAAAACCAAGTGCCAGTGAGTAAACAAAGGATATAGTAAAATTTTGAATTGACTGGTAATTAAAAGATGGGTTGGGGAGGCTTATATAAAAATAATGCTTTCGGTCAAGTTGCGCATGGCGTCAGCATTTTTACGTGGCAATGAATGGAAATTTTATTATCTTTCTGTAGATTTTATCCTTTCAAAAGTTGATCTTGGCTGAAAAATGAGTGTCCTTTGTAGCTAAGGAGGTGGACTTATTTGAGCAAGCATATACATGTGGATCTACAAGTGATAATACTCAATACTTTTCTTTGTGGCCAATAGAAACGAACAGATGAGGGATCCTTTTAAAGAAAATAATAACTCATCTGAATAAGATTGTTTAGTTCACAATTGCGACGGATGACTATATGCGTTGGCTCTAATGATGCGAATGATCATACCGTTAAAGTAGCGTTAAGAATGATAATGTGCAGAATATGATGGAATCATCAATTTCGGTGACTTCTGCAGGATGTTACTCCATGTTGTTTCTGCCATTTTGTTTCGGAAGGGAATTAATTGATCAATCACATCCTCTGATTGAGGTTGAGTTGATGAGAAATGTAGTTACAAAATAATGTTCAATGACACAAAATAACATTGATGCTATTTGATTTCATTAAAATTGTTCTTTGGGGTTTTGGTGCCATCTGTGGACAGAATGCTTCTTTTAGTTATTCATTGTGAGATAAGACCTGTTTTTGGTTATTCCCTCTTTACTTTTTGTAGAGAGCGATAGATGAGCAGAGCATACAAGCTTGTGTCTCTACTTGGCAGTTTGGTATTGGTATTGGTATTGTGATAATCATTTTATCTGAGATGTAAGGTGCTGTTCCAGGTGGTGAATCCACAGCAGATAATTGTCAAATACTACAAACTAGAGTGAACAGATTCAAGTCGGACAAGGATCAGGTTGATCCAGCTCAGCTGAAGGGCTACTCATGTGACATTACTTTTTCTGGTATAATTTCTTGATCACTGATCTGTCTTTATCTTGAGGGTCATGTGACTTTATCCCTTCACTCATTATGCATTTTCCTTATCATATTCCTCAAGTTTTTCATCCCTTATTTGGTCCTGCTCTCCAATGGAAGACAAAATGTTATTCAGTGTCATTCGAATCTGAATTCGCTTAGCTTCCTTTTCTTCTACCTTCCTTTGAAGTTCCTCTTAGATGGAGGATCCATAGTTTGAAACTTCATAAATAATAGTCTTGATTTATTTCAACTGCAAATTCTCCCATGTTAGGGATTTCATCTGTCAAGCAATATCTGCTATATACTTAGCTGTTAATCTTCCTTGCTCGTGTTTGATGATAAGTTTGCTAAAGGACAATGGATGAATTTTTTACTTATTTGTTGCTCGGCCTTTCTTTAAACAAACCACATAGGTATTTTTTCTAGCTTTTCCGAATGTCATAATTTAATTGAAGAACCTGACGGCTAATACCTACAGCTATACATCTAAGTTCTTTCGTTTTCTGAACAGGTTTCAAGTTCATGTGCCTCATAAAGAGAGGATTAACTTTAGCGTTTCAGCTGCATGCTTGATGTACTCTTGGAACCATTCCCTTCTCTTTTTTGCCCCTCTTTTCTTTTCTTTCTTTACTTTTGGCAAAATTGAGAAATACAGAGTTCTTGTTAGTACCTTTGCACGAAATAATTTAAACATCTAGCTAGTAGCTAAAATGGTATTCCCTTTTTCTTGCTTTATATGATTTCTTTTGTGAAAGAACTTTGTGCAAATCTCAGGCGCTGATAATTCCGAGATAGGATGAATCAAAGATGAACTGACAATTAACCGCACGTACAAGTTTCGGTCCCACTCCCTCTTGACTTTAAACGTGACAATTCTGAATTCTGACCATGATCATGAATTATTGTATTGTTTGGCCAGAGATGCATATACTCATAAATCCAGGAGAGCTAGACTCAAAGCCAATGTGTGAGAAATACATATTATGACTGCTTATAACGAGAATTTCGGATATCAATGACTGGCAATCTGTTCTAGATGAATATTAGGGTGTGATTAGAATGAGAAAGGTCCGTGTTGACCCATAACTGACTTGCATGCATGAGACATATCACGCATTGTTTTATTGTTTATAAAGAAAAACAAGATGGTGCTCAAATGTTTCCCTTGTTCGTCACATAATTTTAACACTTGTGGAACAATTGACAGATAAGGAGCTCGATATAATAGAGATGGCTGTTTATGGGGACGTGATTAGGCCAGGAAATGAGTGTCGTTGCAGAACAGTAGCTGAAATGCTTGGCGTATACAAATCTAAAGACAATACAGCTGCGTGCAAGCTGCCACAGACAGGGGAATGAATCTCCAATGGACAGAAAATCGTAAGTATCAATATCATATAATCCACTGCATGCAATTGTTGATTCAATCTTCCTTTTATCAGGATTTGAGATCCACGTGTCAGATTGTTAAAATTGAATTCTGACCATTATTTGGCCATACATTATATGGTAGCTGAGATTTTCTTGGAAGAAACAAGTCAGGTTCTTTACTCTCCTTGAGAATTGACATATCCAGGCACGCACTTGGATAAGGGCACTGCTTTAAGCTGTTGTCTTCTGCCGTTATGAACTGGACTTTCGCCTAATTTCGGTGTCACTGATGAACTCTTTGGTTTATCACCACTTATTTCTTCAAAACCATGAAACATCCAAGATTTCGATATTTGATATGACACTAGTTAAGTCCAGAGGCACGAGGTGCCACCCTTTTTAAAGGGAGAATCCCTACCTAATGCCACCAACAAATGATATGTCAAAGTTCTGATTGCATTGACAAAATAAACAAAATCAAATCAAATATTCCCTCCAGTCCTAAATATAAGGTTTATTTGAAGGATTGAGTTTGATTTTAAATATAAAGTCTAGTTCTTTCTTATTTCTCATATAAAATTTTATGTAATGTCACTATTGAGGGAGAACCTTCACAAAAAAAAAATAAATAAATAAAATTACTAACTTCTAAATGAGATTTGGTATCAGCATTTTGATAGGTTTTGATAATGCTGAACTGATAAATGACAATTTATTTTTGTAAAAATTTATTTGAGATTTAGTAATTTTAAATTTTTTTCCTTCCTACTATTCATTAAGGCACTTTTATGCCCAAGCATTAAAAAAGAGCCATATTGTTTAAAAATCACAGATAATTTGATTTGAGATTGATATACTATCCTCACTCTTTGGTATGAGATGTATTTAACTAATTTAAATTGATTAAAAAATTAGTTAAATTATTTATTTATTAAAAATATGTGTTGTTTTTTTTAATAATATCCACATAAATTATTTATATTGACATTATTTTTTTAATGCAAACTTTTTTAATATATACAATCAATAAAAATACTTAAGGGGGAAAAAATAAGTATGAAAGATAAAATAGTTTTTTTAAGAGATAAAATAAATTAAAATATTATATTTTACGTTAAATTTAACTCTTAATTAACTTTTATGAAGCGTATGTAGTATTTACAAAAGATACACGTACTAAATGGCTCTTGGATGCTCCACAAACCCGAAGGGGAGGGTGTGTGTAAACTGACACAGACAAGGTAGGAATAATACTGGCATAAGGCGGTAATCAAATTGTAAAAAAAGAGAATGGAGTGGAGAGTACCTACAACCTCGTTTTTTTTTTTTTTTATATAAGAGTTAGTTGATTCATTTAAGTAAATTAAAAAAATTTGTTAAATTAGTTATTAGTAATAAATAAACGTTGTCTTCCTAAAAATATCATTACTAACTATATGTATTAGTTAAAACTACCATTTGATTAAATCTTTAACATATACAACTATTACAAAGATTATTTTAAAAAAATAGATAAATATAAAAGATAAAATAAATTGAATAGAAAATCAAACTGGTTTTTATATTAAGAACCAGAGATAGTACTACCTCCGGTCCTAATTATAAGAGCCAGTTGACTAATTTGAGGAGATTAAGGAAGTAAGTTGAGTTAGTTATTTGTCCTAAATAAGTTTTGTCTTTCCTAAAATATCCTTGCTAATCAAATGTATTGATTAGAACTATAATTATTAAAAGAACTATCTTAGAAAAAATTGAGTAAATATGAGAGACAATATGGATTGGGGTCTTATATTTAGGACCAAAATAAAAGTCAAATAAAATCTTATATTAAGAACCGGAGGTAGTATATCATATGGGTTTGATATATTAATATTATCATGTTTGCTGGTATTCAGCGTTAAACCAACTTAAGTTGACTTAGGAAGCTTTGTCGTCTTCGTCTAATATCATATCATGTCATAATCCCAATCATGTGGGATTGCCTGCCTTTGACATTTGCCTTACACTTCGAAGCCTCCCAAACACGCACATTGGAGGAAACTTCATTTTAGCTGACATTCAGGAAAACAACCAGACAAGGCACATGAAATTTACTTGATAAAACCAATAAAGGTAAGCTCTCTTTCTCTCTTATGTCTTTTCCCTCTGTGTCTCAATTGAAGGCCGCATGTTGTCCTGCTCCGTCAGATTTAACCTACTAATTAAAAAGGTATTTAGATAGAAACTAAATCATAATTTTAAAAATATTTTTACGGTACATGAAGTAAATATATAGAAGAATTTATCTCGTTTTACAGAAAAAAAATTTTTAAAAATATTTTTTTCATGTTACCAAACACCTCCTAAATGGTTTATCCCACTCCCATCACTTTGTTCGTTTGGTTTTTGAAGTCTTCTTTCATAAGAAATGTGAATGGAAATCGATTAAATGCACACTTATGGCCAGGGTAAAGAAATTGACAGGTTCCTACATGTATAGTGAGAGTTCCCTGTTCCGAACAAGGCGCTAGATATTGTCAGATGGAGTCAAATGCCAGCAATATTGGGGCCCATTTCTTCAATATATCTATTTTTAAACATTTATTCACCTCATATTTTATTTCTGACCAAGGGTGAGACTAATATTTGGTTATAAGGGAGGTTAACATGTATACATTTCTTAGAAGGACAAAAAACATGTAATATCTACCCTATACTATACTCTCTCTTGTCCTTAATCAATTTGAATAGGTTGAACAGATGAAATAAATTAGTTAATTATAATAAATATAACTTGATTTCTGTTTTTCTTTAATCTTAGATTATATATTAGTTTATAAATTAGGTAAACTGGCTTGAAAAATAAAATAAATTAAAGTCTTATATATAAGGTATAATTGTGTTTGAACTTTGAATAATAACTATTGGTAGAATGAATAGTATTTTCACTATTGGTAAATAGTACAGTTTATTAGAAAATGGATGCTTGATACGGGTTTTTTTCTTTTTTTGACCTGATTGATACGGGTTAAGTTGCCGGAAAGTTTGGGGAAAACTTATTTCCAGCAAATTTTAAATATAATAGGGGGAAAGAGATAATAAAAATATTTAACTGTTTTTTTTTGTTAAAAGAATCTTCAAAGTCTTTGTATTTTGGAGCCCCCTTTAATTTTGGAGGATTTAGGGAAAAAAATCTTGATATTAATCTCTTTCGTCTGATTGTTTTGCTTGATTTTTTTTTTTTGGGTCTTACCCCATACTTGGGAACACAAAAACATTGTCAAATCCCAATTAAATAGCATATATTCACGGGACGGATCGGGACCGGGACAGGTCCGTCCCGATTCTGTTCCGGTGAACAGTAACGGGACAGATTTTTTGTCCCGTATCCCGGCCCGTCCCGGGGTTGTCCCGGTCCCGGTCGGGACGGGACGGATCCGGGACGGGATCGGGACGTCCCGAAATTATTATTTTTTAATTTTTTAATTTTTTTAATTTTTTTTAAAAAATCTGATTTTTTAATTATATTTTTTTGAGCTTAAATCTTATAAAAACATCTTTTTTATTTGTTTGGGCACTCTTAAACAAAAGCTCAAAATATTACATATAATAGTTATTAAAAACTCTAAACAAAAGTGTAACATCCTAAGTTTGATCAGGTTTTAATAGCCTCTTTTGGGTTGATTTTGAGGATAGATTAGTGATTTAATCTTGATCTTGGTGTTTGGGTTGGATTTGAGGTTGGTTGGAGGCATAGGTGAACGTACCCCTCTCAGGGTATGTTCGCCGCGGCGAAGTTTACTTCGCCGCGGCGCACCGGGAGTTTCAGAGGGGAGTGTCTTCTCGGGAAGGTTTGGCCGCGGCGAAGTTTAGGGGACGCCGCGGCGAAGTTGTTCAGGTGAGCGAGGCTTCCCTTTCGGGAAGGGCACGCCGCGGCGAAGGTAAGGGCACGCCGCGGCGAAGTTCTTCTGGGCGAGCGAGAGTTTCCTCTCGGGAAGCTTTCGCCGCGGCGAAGTCAGGTTTTCAGGCGAGTAATCCCTCTCGGGATTAGTTCGCCGCGGCGAAAGGTCGCGATTTTATATAATCGCTGGAGGGTTCAGTTGTGCGAAAATTAGAAAATCTGAAGGAGGAGAGAGGAGCTCTGCTAGGGTTTCGGTTTTAAGGCTTGGGGAAGACATTTCTAAGGATCCATTACCTCAAGTAAGTGATTTTAACCTCTAATCTTCTTTCTTTCTTGAAATTCCATGGAATTTATGAGGATTTTTGGTGGAACTCTAGGATTTTCTAGGTTGTGATGGAATTGAGGTTTTTGACCGATTGTTTTGAGTTTAATTGGTTGCATTTGGTTAGTTTAAGTTTTTAATCGGTGTGGTTTTCTTGGATTTAAAGAATCTTGAGTTTTGGAGTTAGGGTTTATGGAATTGGATGATTTGGGATTGAGGATGATAATGTAGAGATTGATTTTGAGTTTTGTGAATTGGGTTATGTTAAGGAGGGTTAAATTGGAGGTTTAATCGGTTTAGAATTGTTGTTGGAACCTTAATTGCTCAAATGGGATGTTGGAGGTTGAATTCCTATAGTGGATCCTTGAGGTTTGAACTCTAATTGATGCTTGGAAGGAGACTTGATGTTTTAATAGACTTTGAGGACTTTGGAGTGTTGTTTTGATAGTTATACCCTTTGAGTTGGGTAGAGTTTTGATGGGAGATAGGAATTTTGTGTCCCCAAGTGTTGTTTTGGCCACATTATTAGTTTGAAAGCTAATATATGATGGTTGTGTGTTTGTGTGCTTGTGTAGACCGGTTGTGAGTCTTGGCGGTGCACGGGGCCACATCTTGGTTTGTTGTTCCTTGCTCAGGCGAGAGGTAACCACTTTCCAATCCTTAGTACTTGCTTATGTGGTATTGTGAGTAGATTTGTGTTTTGTGCTCCAAATAGTAATTGTGTTCAAACTATATGTTGTATATAAAAAGGGAAAACCGTCTTGTGGGGTTTTGATTTATGATGAATGAATTTTGGAATTGTGAAAGATATGCCACTGAATGAGGTTTATTGTGAAATGATTGTTACTCTTGATTATGATTTGAGCATGATGCATAATTTGGGATTTGGTGAGAGTTTGATAGTTACTACCACGTGGTAAGGCCTCCATTAATGCATGATGGTTGGCTCTTTACGTCCCCCATAGTGAGGGATAGGCCTTCGGGCTCATTACGTCCCCCAGAGTGAGGGATAGGCCTTTATGGCTCCTTACGTCCCCCATAGTGAGGGATAGGCCGGGTTCGGCTCCTGAAAATCCCCCAAAGTGAGGGATTTGTTTGATGGGATT